CCTTCCCCCCACCCCCCAGGGATCCCCTTCCAAGAACACATGACCACATCTCATCCTGGAGCCAGCTGGGCCCATTCCTGCCTCAGGACCTTTGCATGACTGAGCCTTCTGGACAGGCTATTCAATGGTCCTCTGTCACATTTTGGTTTGTTTGCCTGTCTCCCCAGCAGAAAGCAAACTCCTGAGAATACCAGGCCTCCTCCTCTCTGCCCTCCTGCAGCCACTCAACGAGCAACTGTACCAGGCAGCATTCCAGAAGTGAGTGAGCGGGGCGGCAGCCCCGCCTCAGGGAGCCCATGCTCTGGGCACTGGGAGACCAGAAGGCAGGGCCACGGGGAGAGGCAGCTATAGCCCGCAGTCTCGACAGCCCGGGTAACCCTCCCCAGGGAGGCCAGCTGACCTGCCCGAGGTCGTAGCCCCCAGCTCAGTCTCCACCGTCAACACAGGGTCGGGGTGGGGGAGACACAGACGACGGGATTTGGGTCCTGCCCCAGAGGACAGAGGTGCCTGAGGCAGGTGGTGGAGAAGCTGTGACTCTGAGTCGGGGCCAGGCCAGAGCACCCATGGTGCAAGGAGGGAGGGAGGGACGGCCCCACGGCCGCCGCTGGGGCAGGGAGCCTTCCCAGGGGACAGCCTGGGGCTGGGACTGCTGGCCCCCCACCCGGGCTCTCACACTGCTCATGTCCCTCCATGCCCGACCTCCTGAGGGGCCTCAGGGGCACCCCGGGTCACAGCCAGAGCGTGGCCTCCCTGACTGTGACCTCCTCTCCCCAGCACCCCTGGAGCCGGCTCCGAAAGGGACCGCCACGCGCAGGGCCATCCTCTTCCCGCAGACTCTGCGTCTACACCCGCATCCCAGAAACACCAGCCCCTCCTGGGGCCTCGCTCCTGCTGCTGGGGCTCAGGCCGCACCAAACCCCCTCCTTGGCACAGCCCCGAGGGAGGGTGGGGGACTGGGGCAGCGGACACACGGTCACGGGAGAGGCTAGTTAACCTGTGTCCGTGAGCGGGGCGGACTCTTCGATCATAAAGAGCCGTGTCCCAGGTCAATAAAACTCCAAAAGGATGCAGGCAGACGCTAAAAGGAGGCCAGCGTGTGTCCACCTCGTCTGGAAAGCCGCATGGCTCACGCGCTGTTTGGTCATAGGCCCCGGGCTTCGGCTGGTCAGCGATGGGATGGAGAGCCCAGCCCGTCCACTCCCCTGGCCATCCGCAGGTGTGGCCGCACCCCTACTCCCGCCAGTGAGCGTGCCCGGAAGCCGCGGGCCTGAGGGGCCCCTTGGCCTGGGGGCGCCCCAGCATCACTGGAGAGGAACACCCTAAGGACCGTGCCCTTAGAGCCCGGAGAACCTGCCTGTCGCCCAGGCCCCCGCCTGTGTGACTCTCCTCCTTCAACTTCAATCTAACAAAACAACGTGAATCCTCAAAAGCTTCCGTGACATGAAGAGCAGATACAATAGCAACATCCTAGCCCGTTAGGACTCAGAAGATGGAGTGAACCCGACTGACCTGTGAGGAGCCGGGCTCCCGTGCAGCCAGCACAACATCCAGAGAAGCTTCCAGTGAGCGCACTCGCGGCAACCTAGGGAATGGGGATTGCGGAAGCCAACACCTTCCACAAACACCGACCCCGAAATAAGAGTCATTGTAAATACATTTATACTCATTACTTTCTTTAGATTTTTTGAAGGGTAAGTCAGTGTGCAAAAAGGAGATTTTATGAAAGCGCAGGGACAGGACCTGTGGGCAGGCAGAGCTGCACTGGGGTCCTGACGGGTCACCCATTACATACCCTCAGGTTGGCGGGGGGCGGGGGGGGGGGGGGTCAGTCTATAAGGAATTTTTGAAGCAAGGTTTCCAGGACCTTGAGGGCCNGGGGGGGGGGGGGGGGGGGGGGGGGGGGGGGGGGGGGGGGGGGGGGGGGGGGGGGGGGGGGGGGGGGGGGGGGGGGGGGGGGGGGGGGGGACAGGGATAGTCAGTCTCTAAGGAATTTTGGAAGCAAGATTTCCAGGACCTTGAGAGCCAGGCTGTTGCTAGGGAAACGCCATTTACTACCATTTAGTAAAACCTCCGTCCTGAGCCCCCTCAGATGGATATCAGGGGCCTTAAGGCTGGGGTGTGATTGCCGCAAATGTCCTGGGGCAGCGGAGATAAAGGAAGTAGACTCAGGGTCCTGGAGGCTGGGACAATGTTAAGCCAAGATTCCCTTCTGCCTCCAGCAAAGTGTCATCAGGAGGCAGCTGAGCGCCCAGAGGGAGGTCACTCTGCCTGTTTCAGGGACTTGTCAATAGGCCTTAGGCTGTAAGGGAATTTTTCATTTGCCTTAGTTTCCCTCATCACCACAGCATGCACTTAAACCGCCTTCCTTTGTTCTTGGGTGGCAGGGAGTGTCCACACAGATCCCACCTGGGTTAGCCTGCACTGTGCCCTCAGCCCGCCCCATGCTCCCTCATCAAGACCACCTCCATGCTTCCCCACTGTGTCTCAGGGATATTTTTACTTCAAATCCTCTGTGGGGAGGTGGGGCACTGTGATTAGGGCCCCTAACGGGCTAATAAGTCCGGGTTCGGGGCTGCACACCAGCCAGAGCCCAGGACACCAGGGGAAGTTCCATGCAGGAACCCTATCTGGAGCCCCTTCCCCCTCCCCAGGCAGAGGCTGCGGGGAGTGGGCTCATCAGCTTTACAGAACTTTGGCCTTGGAAGCAGCGGGATGTGCACCTCATCAGGCTAACTGGAATCCCAACACTGGCAATATTGGAATTTAGGCAAGGTTTGCAGTTCCCTTGAAAATGTGTCACCCGACGCTGGTGGGGCGGCACTGTAGAGTCCCCACGGAGAGACCCCTGCCCTGCTGGGTTCCCTCTCCACTCCCTGCTGGGCTAGGGACCCACTCACATCTTCCTGGTTTGTTGGAGAAGGCACCCGCTCTTGCTCTTGCTTTATTCTATACATTTCGGGGGGTCTCTTTGCATGCTCAGACCCACTGAATTTGTGAAGCCACCCGTGCCCTCGTTTTAAATAAATCTCATATTATGCTGGAGGGGAGGGGGAAGGCGGAAGCCACGCGAGAGGGGGTTGGAGGGAAGCCATAATCCGAAGTGCGTACACAGCCTTTATTTTCTTTAAATCCCTCACACTAAATTAATGAAAATTATTTCTTGCATCTCAACAAAACAACCTATCTCTGTCCATTAAAACTGCCTTGCCTTGGGGCGCCTGGGTGGCTTAGTCGGTTGAGCTTCCGACTTTCGCTTGGGTCATGATCTCGCGGTTCGTGGGTTCCAGCCCCACGTCGGGCTCTGTGCTGACTGCCAGCTCAGAGCCTGGAGCCTGTTTCAGTCTGTGACTCCCTCTCTCTGACCCTCCCCTGCTCATGCTGTGTGTGTGTCTCTCTCTCTCCTAGAAATAAATAAAAATATTTAAAACAAAACAAAACAAAACAAAATAACTACCTTGCCTCGCTCCCGGTTACGTGCAGGAGCCCGGACGGCCGTACATGCGTGCACACTCACAGACTCACACACACACACACACACACAGTCTCCCAGTGGCACACGCTCACAAGTTCGTGCATACACATGCACCTGCACCTGCGTGTGCACACGCTCACACCCGTGCACACGCTCCCCCGGAAGTGTGTTTTCAGTGCAAGGGGGAGAGTACTGGAAATACGGCCTCCCGAGAACCCTTCCGCCTGCTCTTTAAAAGCAGCTGAGGTGCCCACACAGAAGGACAGACTGCCTTCTGAACACTTGCCCAGACACTCTTCTATTAGTCTACACTGCCGGCTCCCAGTCCAGCCCGGACCCCCACTCGGCAGACCCTCTCCACGGGACCCGGGGAGCCGGACCCTCCTAACGGCACACAGGTGCATTTGCGATGGGCTCGTCACTGGGGGAGGTCCCGCACACCCTGTACAGACGCTTGGCTAAGAGACACCCTCCAGATTAACACTTATTATGGAAATAATAATCAAGGGGAAACAAATGGACGGCCTGCCTCGGGGGTTGGGCCCTTGTGACTTTGCTCTGGCTGCGGGAGCAGGGGCGGGGCTTCGCTGCGCATGCGCTTCCACAGAAAGCCCTTTCGCCCACTCGGGGCCCCTGCCGCCCACGGTCAGGGGCGGGTGGTCCATGCCTTTAAGAACCATCTGCTTGGAAGAGACAAGAGGGGCAGCCTCACAAAGCAGTCCGTGAGCCGTCATGGGTAACTCCCAAGGGTAACCGCGCCCCCTCCCCCAGCGCTCTGGTCGGGGGCAGACCCGCATCCCAGCCACGCTCAACACCTTGCCAGGCTTCACCCTGTAACATCTGGCTTCCTTTTTTATCCTGTGTCCTCAAATTCAGAGAGTAATTGCAACTTCCTCAGTCTGGTGAAGAACGGTGGCCTCTGCATCGAGGAGAACTATTTGAAATCGCCCTGGGGAACAGCGCAGAGAAGGCAAGATCACCAGAGACGTGGGTGGGGGTGGGGGACCACTCTGGGCCAGGAAACCACAGAAAGCGTCCCTGGTGTGGCAAACACCCATTTTAATGTAAGGGAACGCCACCGAGACTTCTACAAAAGTGTCGTGACTCCAGAACATAAGTCACGGTGGCCAATGGCTACGCAGGACCATGGGATAGACAGAGACGTGTCAGGTCAGAGGAGGTCGGCTGGGGTGCTGCAGCACGTCTGGAATTTATTATAAGTAACAAATATGAATGAGCAGGCTGCGTCTGAAATACCTATTGGGGTTTCCAGCAACTAGACCTCCAGGTGGATCTTTGAAAACCCACGCAAAACATTAGAAAGATAAAGAAAAAAAAAGTAAAAGGGAAAAATATTTGCAACCTGTAGCACAAATGATTAATAACCTTAAAACGTGGAGTTTCTTCTATAGAGAAGAGAGAAATGAACAAGAAATCCACAGGAAAGTGGGCTAAGACGTGAACAATTGACACATGAGTTGGATGTGACCATCAAGTACAGGAAAAGATGTTCAATTCACTCACTTACACACAGGGTTCTTTTTTTTTTTTCAATAAATGCCGTACACTCTGTGAATGTAAATTCCTTTCCTTATGATTTTCTCCATACATTTTCTTTTCTCCAGCTTACTTACTGTAAGAAGAACGTATACAGTACATATAACACACAAATATGTGTTAATCAATGGCTTATGTTATCGATAAGGTGTCTGATATCGGTTGACGGTAGGCTATTAGGAGTTAAGTTCGGGGGTGAGGGGGAGACAAAGTTATACGTGGAGGGTCAGCATCCTGAACCTCTGTGCTGTGTTCAAGGGTCCAGTGTACACTGAGGGACCACTTCTCACCCATCAGACTGGCAAAAATCCAAAAGACTGACCACCTATAACAAAGTAAGACAGAGCAGAAAATGAATAAGTCTGCCAGGAGGAGGAGATTTAATGGGTTGGCATGTGGGGGGCGGGAATCTGGGGGACCCTGAGGGGCCAGCACATACTTCCTGCCAATTCTCCTGCTTGAGAATCTGCAAATAAAGAGAAAAGTCCCCATAGTTCTGAGGTCTTTAGATCCAAAGGTTTTACTCCAGAAAGGAGTCTCGTGTCACTTTTAAGGTGTTTGAGACCAGAAATGAACTGCAATTATGTAACATGGAGACCTGCCACGGCCCCCCCTTAACTCTGGATGGACTGCAGTGAAGCAGTGACGGGCTGCTCCCTGAGGCCCCCTAACAAAGCGCAGCGCATACCCTCCCCACTGTCCTTTATATTCAGAGTCAAGCATATAATCAAAACTTATCAGATGTTCAGAGAAACAAGAAAATAAGGTCCACACTAAAGAAAGCAGGCTATGGAGGTACACTGAGGCATGACACCGATTTGGGGAACTGCAGACAAAGATTTTACAGTACCTGTTAACAAATATATTACAGTAACTAAATAAAAACATGAGGATGGATTAAAAGATGGGCAATTTCAGCAAAGAAATGAAAACTACAGAAAAGATCCAAATGGAAATTCTAGAATGAAAAAAATAGAATACCCAAAATTAAAAACACATTCAGTTGGTTTAATAGAGGCCGAACAAAACAAAACAATCAGTGAACTCAAAAATAAGTTAATAGAAAGGATTCACATGGAAGCACGGAAAGAATAGAAAACAGCTATTGCAGCTTGTCCCAGATGTAGACAATATCAGACGTGGCTGTGTTCACAGAAGGAAGGAGGTAATAGAGCAGCCGTATCTAAACAGATAACAAGCAAGAACTTCTCGACATTGTCAGTTGCCAGGGCAACAGTTCAAAAGCTCAACAAATCTAGGATGGAGAAACACAGAAAATCTACACCAAGCTACATCCTAGTCAAACTTCTGAAAACCAAAGAGAAACTGGGTAAAAACACCCAGAGGGATAATAATTATATTCCATAAACAAAAAGAGATGCAAGTGGCTTTTCCTAAAGACAAAGGAAACAAGAGTGAGGAAAATGAAGTATCTTTTTTTCAAACACTGAAGGTCAATATTTCCAACCCCAAATTCTACAATTCGCAAACATATCCTTTAGAAATGAAGTTGAAGCAGGTCATTTTCAGAAAAAAAGGAAGCAGCAGGTCTATACTGAAAGGAACACCACAGGGGGACCTTCAGGCCATCGAGATTGTCCAAGATGAAAGCACGGGTCTCCTAGGAGGAACACTGTGCACCAGAGGGAGTCAACATGTAGCCAAAGACAAAACATAAAAAGATGTATGTCAGACTATTAATTCTTTAAAAAATGTTTTTAAGGTTTATTTATTTTTGAGAGAGAGACAAAACATGAGCAGGGGAGGGACAGAAAGAGAGAGGGAGACACAAAATCTAAAGCAGGCTCCAGGCTCTGAGCTGTCAGCACAGAGCCTGATGCAGGGCTCAAACCCACCAACCATGAGATAATGACCCGAGTCAAAGTCAGACGCTCAACTGACTGAGCCACCCAAGCACCCCCAGGATATTAATTCTTTAAAGCAAAAGTAATAACATTGTACTGTGTGTTTTATAACACTTGTGGAAGCAAAACATATTATCTCAATAGCATAAGAGCAGATGGAGGCTCCGGTAATAGAATTACGCTGTTCTAAAGCTTTTACATGGAGAAGTGGTCCGATATGAACTCACAGTACCCTGAGAAAGGCTTAGTGTAGTAATTATAATGTCTAAAATCAATAATCAAAAAAATACAAAAAAGCCAATAGAGGACAGGAAGTAGAACTTTAAAAGATATTTAACGAATCCAAAAGGATGTAGAGAGAGAGAAGCAGGACAAAGATTCAATGGGACAAAGAGAAAGTAAACAGGAAAACGGTAGACTAAGCCCAGTCATATGAATGATGATATTAAATGTTAATTAATAAAAACAGTCCAATTAAAAGACAGAGATCAGTGGACTAGGCTCAAAAATAAAAATAAAGACCCAACCACCTGCTATATAAATGATGAACTTTAAACACAAACACACCATTAGGTTTAGATTAAAGGATGAAACATATATACCTGGTAGACACTGATTATAAGAAGATAAGATGGAAAACTGAAGGAAGGAAGAAATCAGAAGAATTATGAGACTATATCCAAAGGAACACTAAGTATATTAAAACAAGAACATCAACATGTTCTGAGACTTGGAATCTATAGATAGGATTAAGAGACATAATAACAACAATAGCCCAGAAATCAGTGCAAGCACAAATAGAAGTAAACTATCTGAATGTGCTTTCATTGCACAGAAATAGGATAAAAGTATCAACCAATACTAGAACTGTATAAATTAAGAAGACCTTCGTAGTTTCTAGGGAGCACTGCAAAATGACTAAAGGATAACTTTGAAACCAGAAGGGGGAGCAAAGGTACAATCATAGAAATTAACAAGTGAAAATTAACAATTCTGGCTTCCATGGAGTGAGGTTTCCCAAGCTCCTCTACCAGCTGCTGACCACAACTAACAGGGGTAGTAACTACAAGTGGCTCAGGTAGAGGGGAGACAAAGCATGGAAAAGTTGCCTGTGATGGAGTGTTTCTTGGTGAAATGATTCCTCTGACCTCTCTTAGTGCTGCCCCAAGCGCAGAAGAGGCAAAGCTGGCTTTCTGGACAGAGGAACTGAGAGAACCCACCCCTCAAGCTAAGAGGGTCAGTGGGAAATGCCCGTTTTCTTCCATTCTCTTCACTCTGAGCTTTGCCCAAAAGTGTGGCCCCGACTTGGACCTACAGCTATGGTCATACAAGAAGCCATAAGGCTTCTGGCCAGAGATGAGGAAAGAGACATCTCAGGGCCAGAGATGGTGGGCGACCCCAGAGAACAGCTACGTCTCAGAAGTGCCTGCTTCTGAGCACGAACCTTCACGAGCCTCCGGCTCTGCCGAGGGGCACGTGAGTAGGATGGACCCAAGGCAGCACAGCAGAGCTCTGAACATAGAGCCCAGATTAGAACCACTGGCCGCAGATGGGGAAACAGAACTTGTGACTGATAGCCAAACCAATACCCCACTCAGAGAAACAAAAAAGAGCATCGGCATTCCCCCAGAGATGATAACAGGACTCTGCACAGAAGTCTGAGGAACGTGACACTCCCCACAGCGAGGACACAGTCAGAAACATCAAGGGAATGTGAATCAACTCCGGAAGAAAGACAGTGAACAGAGGGCAGCCTCAAGGCAGCCCAGACGCCGACATGACCAGACTTCCAGCAGCTTCTACCACCACGCTCTGAGAGGCCAAAGGAAAAACTACAAGTGAAAGACAAGATTGGAGTTCTCAACAGAGATAGGAAATGTAAAAAAATAAAATAAAATAACCCAATGGAAATCAGGGAAGAGAGAAATGTAGTAAGTGAAATAAAAACTCACCAGATCAGCTCAGTAACAAAATGGACGTCAGCAGGGAAGAGTTTGTGAATTTGAAAACAGGGTAGGTAGAAATTACCCAGTTCAAAGAACAGAGAGAAAAAGAACGCCAAAAACGGTGACAATGGTAATCAACATAATGTGAGAGAAAGAGGAAGAGATTGACATGGAAAAAAGAATTTGAAAAAATATTAGCTGAAGACTTCCCCAAGCTGGTGAGTAACCCAGACTTACAGATGCAAGAAGTGAGAAACATCAAGGATGTTAAAGATAACCTCAAATGAAATCATACCAAACATTTCCCAATCCAAACGCAGAAAACAGAAGATAAAGAAGAGAGATGAAGGAGCTGGAGAATGTGACACATTTCATGACAGGGAACAGAGATGCGTGTAACAAAGGCTACAGATTAAAGGGGAGGCAGCTTTGCCTGGTGTACGGATACCAACCCAGATGCAGGCGTGAGTCCTCTGGGACCTTTGGGGGCAAGCAGAACCGTGTAAGGTCCATTCTGCCCCGAACATGAGCGCGTGCACTCCTGAGCGCCTCTGAGGTCCGCATCAGAGCCGGGACACCAGGGAGCGGGGACAGCATTTGGAGAGCATGCACACATGTCCACACAGCTGACTCTGGCTTGAGCGTGGGATCGGCAGCCTACCTGTAGCTCAAGATTAAAAGCCATGTGACACTGGGCATGCTCTTTCCTTACAAGACAAAGTCCTGCAATCAAATCCCCTGTTGATGTCCCCCTGTCCTGGCTTTCAGGCAGATCTGTAGATTCTGTGGATGGTCCAGGGGAGACCTTGGGCTCTGTCCAGAACGTAAGTGCATATACTGTGCTTCTCAGAAGTTCTTTGAGGCAAATTATGTGTAAATCGGTTTTACCTTTTTTTAAAAAATTTTTAAATGTCTTATTTATTCTTGAGAGAGAGACAGAGACAAAGCTCGAACAGAGGAAAGGCACAAAGATAGGGAGACACAGAATCTGAAGCAGGTTCCAGGCTCTGAGCTGTCAGCACAGAGCCCATCTAGGGGCTCAAACCTGTGAACCCTGAGGTCATGACCTGAGCCGAAGTTGGACACTTAACCGACTGAGCCGCCCAGGTGCCCCTGGGTTTTACCTTTTATTAAAAACTCTTCATTGTCTCACGGTAAAGTGGACACGAATACCCATGACAGCTTACTCTTCATACAGCATCGACAATCTCTCAGGAACACGTAGTGATGATTTTAAAGGCTTGATTATCGACGGGCAAAAACGGCTTGGATAAACTAAGTATCTGGGATTATCCTTTGAAAACAGATGTCCCCATACTTTTTGAAGAAGAATCACTTTATTGTCTAATTTCAAGTATTCATAAAAGAATAATTAATCCTTAAGCGGGTCAATTAAAAAAATTTCGGGAGAGAAACGGATCCTGCAAACAGCCAGCGAAAGAAACGGACGTATCTAAACTACTATCAGACAAGTAGATCACACAGCAAAGGAATCAACAGGACAAGAACATTAATGATGACAAAGTCAAAGGGTGGCTTCACCAAGAACACGGGAAATTCTCCAAGTGTCGGGTGAACTCAGAACCTCAAAATACACACAACAAAGGCTATCAAACTGGACAGAGAGTTGATTTGGGAGGTAAGTGCTGTGGCCGCTTGGCCAGCTTGTCCCCGTCCCAGTTCCCATCACCGTCCAGCCCTCTCGCTGGGGGAAAGCACGCCCGGCCGAGTCCAGGGACAGGGACAATCACGCTGACCAGGCTTCCTTTAAATCCCCGCCGTCCCCATGGGTCCTTCATGCTGCCTGGACCCTGCACCACTGGTCCCGGCCACCCCCTCCCCGTCCTACCTCCACATCGTCCCCTCCCCCTACCTTTTCTCCTTCCTCACTGGTGGCAGAGCCTTTGTTCTTCGGACCTCTCAACCCTCAGGCCTATCACTGGCCCTCCGTCCATCATGGCCACACTTACCGCTTTGGAAACTGCATCAAATCTCATTGCTTCAAATTCAAAAGTATTCGTATCTGAAGGCTGCCTGATGGATTAGTACAAACCAGGGGACTCCTTGTCTCCGGGCTCTGGGCTCTGGAGGCCAGGAGTGTGAAGGGAAGGTGCGGGCGGGGCCACTCCCTCTGGGACTCTGCTCGGGGTCCTCTGGACGCCCTCAGCTACGGTGGGGACGGCCCCCCGGGGGTCGTGGCCTGCGCTGGGTCACTCTCCCCCAGCTCTGCCCCTGTCCCTCTGCATGTTTGTGTCTCTGCTCACGTGGGCACCGCTCAGGGTACTTAGGACGTGCTCGACTCCTGTGTGATCCCCTCTTAACTTGGACAATTACCTCCTTGAAGACCTACTTAAAACTATAATCATTTCCTGAGGCTCCAGGGGTACAGGACATTTGGCTGCCACTGTTCACCCCAGGACACGTCACCCTCTGCCTGCAAAATCACGTGTCCCACGCGCAACGCATATTAGGCTCAGCTCAGCACCATCCACTCCAGAGTTAACTCTAAACCCAACATCTAAGTACTATCCACCCATAAAGTTCCAGGCCGGGGGGGGGGGGGGGAGGGGGGATTCTGGGGGCCTCAACTGGTTAAGCTGCTAATTCTTGGTTTTGGCTCAGGTCATGAGCTCACAGTTCGTGGGTTTGAGCCCCACATGGGGCTCTGTGCTGACAGCTCGGAATCTGCTTGGGATTCTCTCTCTCTCTCCCCCTCTCCCTCTCTCTCTGTGCCCCTCCCTCAAAATAAATAAGCAAACTTAAAAAAGTTCCAAGCTTCATCACCTAACTGTCCAGATGGCCCGGACGGGTGACACTAGGCTGATCCATTCTGGGCAAAATTCCTCTCCACGTGTGGATCCTTTAAACTGGAAAACATGCTACCTGCTTCCAGAGCACACGGTGGGACTTTCCCGAAGGGGGAGCCTAGAGGAAATAAAAGGGCCCTGGATCCCAGCAAGTCCGACAGCCAGCAGGTGGGGTCCTAGGACCACCTGTCTTCTGACTTTCTCAGGGAGCCCTTTGGCCACCTGCAAACTGTCGGTCCACACAGGACGCACTGGCTCAGGTGATCCGCCTCCAACGGCACCAGCACCATCTTGCTAGTCCGGTTCTGTCTTCCCTTCCAAACCTCGCATTCCCCCTCCCCCAGGAGACACCACCCCCTGGAGCCCCTCCACCCCTCCAGGCACACAGAGCACTGGCCCCCGTGCACACTCGCTTCCTCCCTCTTGTCCCTTCTGCTGGGCTCCTCCACATCTCATAAGACTCTAGAGGAAAGCCACCGTCTCTCTGTGACCGCACAGGTACCCCCCCCACACACACACACAGCCACCCACTGCCCACCACTGTCTGGTCCCGCCAGCCTGGGCGCAGGAGGTGCTTGGTGCCCCCGCTGAACGGACAGCTGGACCCTAGCTGGTGTCATTGACCACCACCGCCAGATGACTCAAAGTCTGACAAGATTAACCAGCATGACACCTAGTTCAGCTTTAGCCCATTCAAGTCCAGGTCACGACATTTACGATGGGGGGAGGGGGGAAGAAGTTGGGAAGGGTCCCTGCAGTTTTGTCAAATAAAAAATGACTCAAGACTGAAACGTGATTCTCCCCACGTCGCTGCGCACTGCCACAGACTCGCCTCGCTGTTGCCCGACAGCACGGAGCGGGTAACGGCAGCGCTGCCGCACGTGGTCGTGGAATATTCGCGGGAGTGACGAAGCAGCCTGGGGGCTCCCGAGCGCCCGGCCCTCGGTTCTCCGGCGCCCCCTAGGGTCTTCGCGCGGAACTGGCGGCCCCGGGCGAGGGGATATGGGGCTGGGAAGCCTAGGACCTGCGGGGGGCGGGGGGAGGCCCCAGGGGTCCGCCCGGGGCTTTCCAACCACACTCGCATGGCAACGCTGCAAAAGTGCCACACTCCCTGTGACACTGTCCCAAACACATAGGCTCAGGAATCTGTGGCTGCGCAGCCGGCTCTGGTTTCAGAATCAAGGTCTCCGTGGATAGGAAAGGAGTCGTGCAACCAACCCTGAGGGCTGTTTTGTTTTTGGTCTTTGCTTTTGCTTCCTCTAATTTTCAGATGCAATTGGAGTCCCTGTTCTTGGAGGTTGAAGCAGATAATACGCAGCTACAAGGAGGAGGGGATGGGGGCAGCCAGGAGGCCGCGCGCAGCGTGCGGTTAACTGGGCGAGTCCCCAAGGCCTGGTGCGCTGGCGCCAGGAGGGCTGTGCCTCTGCGGGGCTGGGGGCACAGGCCCCTCCGCGCGTCCTTGCTCTCCCCTCCTTGTGGAGCAAGTATTACTCTTGTTTTCTGTCCATTTGCCGTGAGTACATCAGTCTCCCCATTCTAAAGGGAAGGCTCGCACACACCTACGCATGGGCACACCTACCCACGGCGAGGGCAGAGAGGCGGTGGATGCGTGCTGGCTTCACCCGCAGCCACGCAGGGGGCGGGTCAGGCTGGAGGGGGGAAAGCACGGGGGTCCCGATAGGCAGTTTCTACTACAAACTGCAAAACGCCCCTCCAAGATACCTACCCATCTCCTAGAGCAAGTATCCATTTCCAGCTGAGTTCTGGAAAGCCGCCTCCCGCAGGGGGTCTCCTTGGTTTGCATTGCTGACCCACTTGGGAGAAGTGGCAGAAGAGCCTTGGACCCGGTCATTCTGGATTCAATCCTGGACCACTGGCGCCCCCTGTTGGTCACGAAGGGAAGGGGCGCGCGGACACTTGAAAACACCGGGCCCGAGCGCGACCGCAGGGGCGCAATCGCGCCCTGGGACTTCCACCCTGGTGCACACGATTTGGATTGCACAGAGAATCGAGGATCCCAGAAACTCTCCACTCCGACGGACCGGAAAGAACCCAGTACAGGGATACAAAGCGGCTCGGAAAATGGTACTAAAAGTAACCCATAGTGAGGACTATTCGGTTATTAAATACACCTTGTTGGTGCTTGCCTTATTGTTTTTATTATTCTTTTGTGGTGGATGCAAACTCCGCTTGAAAACATAATCAGGGAGCATACCTCCGACAAGAACAGAGGTGACATCAATCTCTGACAATTTCTCCTAAGGACCCATTCGCTGTCAGCCCCCTCTGCCAGCTGGGGACTTGACAGGAAAGACCCAGTGAGGCTGCACCGCTTTGAGGAGGAAGCCTGGACCCGGCGGGGACCACGCGCGCACCTGTTTGTCCCAGGAGGGGGGTGGTGGTGAGTGCAAACAGCCCCACGTGTGCAGATAGAACCAGAGACCTCGCGCAAATCGGGTATGCTAACTCAGAAACGTCCCACACCTTTCCCGACCCGAGGACTTAGATTTTTGCAAAGCGTTGCGAGGTACACCCGGTGCGCAGTGAGCACGCCAGTCTCCCCGACACCAGCTCTCGGCGGGGCGACCTCACCAGGCCCTCAGGCAGAAGGGCGGCGGCGTCGGGGTGGCCAGAGGCGCCGGGGACAGCGGGGTGGCTGCGCTGCGGGATTCCCGCGGACGGCGGGGTGGCGTTGGCGCCGGAGCGCGCGCGTGGAGCAGGTGCTTGGGCGGCAGCGCGCCGCGCGCCCCCGCCCCGGCCTGGCCGCCCGGGGCGCAGCGCGGGCCCCGGAGCCCCGTGCGCGCCGGCCCGCCCCCTCTCCCCCACCCCGCGCGCCGTTCCGGGGCGTGTCCTCGGCCACCGGCTTCTATATAGCGGCCGGCTCGCCCCAGCCTCCCAGATGCGAGAACGACGGCTCAGCGCAGAGCACCGGTGGCCGCCTACCCCTCTCCTGCAGCTTCGCGCCGCGCGCTTTCGCCCGGTCCCCGCGCGCCCCGCCTGGCCGAGCAGCGCGCCTTCGCCATGGGCGCCATGCAGCGGGCGCGTCCTGCGCTCTGGGCCGCGGCGCTGACCGCGCTGGCGCTTCTCCGCGGGCCGCCGGCCGCACGAGCCGGAGCGGGCGCGGCGGGCGCGGGCCCCGTGGTGCGCTGCGAGCCGTGCGACGCGCGCGCCCTGGCCCAGTGCGCGCCGCCGCCCGCCGCGTCCGCGTGCTCAGAGCTGGTGAGAGAGCCGGGCTGCGGCTGCTGCCTAACGTGCGCTCTGCGCGAGGGCCAGCCGTGCGGGGTCTACACCGAGCGCTGCGGCGCGGGCCTCCGCTGCCAGCCTACTCCCGGCGAGCCGCGCCCGCTGCAGGCGCTACTGGACGGCCGCGGGCTCTGCACCAACGCCAGCGCCGCCGGTCGCCTGCGCCCCTACCTGCTGCCCGCGCCGCCCGCGCCAGGTGAGCCGCCCGTGCCAGGTGCGCGGCCGCAGCGCCCCGGGGTCCGGAGCCACTCGGCCCCGGGCAGGGGTTGGGGTGGTGCAGTGGCGGGGACCCCCTGTCTCCCCGCCCCTGATGCTGCGTATGCTGAGACCCCAGGCCTTGCAGGGGAGGGCGCTCGCCGGAGGCACCCTCCGCAGCCACCCTCCGCGCGCCGTGTCCTCCGAGTGCGGAGCGCTTGCACACTGCCAAGCGCTTTCGGCAAAACTGGGTCAAAGGTTCTCTGTCTGGGAGGGAGCGGAGACGAGGTGGGCGGTCACGGCTGGACCCAGTACCAAGGAGCGTCTTCCCGCCCTTGGTGCGCGCGCTGCGCGGGAACGTGGGCATGGACTGTGCGACCCACCTCTGGAACGCGGCTCCCGTGTCCCCCAAATTGGGCGCGAGCGCGTTTGTGCCAAGGATGCGGAGGGGGCTTGGGCAGCAGGGATACGGTCGGGACTGATGTGGACTGGGGGTGGGTGGCAGGCACGTTGTGGGAAATGGTGCCCGTCTCTAAGATGGCAACACTGGCACGGACTTGCGGTTTGCAAAGCACTGACGCGTCTCGCGGTGTGCCGAACAGTAAGGTGGGACTCGAATGCTGGTATCCTTCGCGTTCCGGCAACCCGCCGTTCAGAAAAGTGACTCCAGCGTTCCCAGAGGCAGAGAGGAAAGTAAGGGCTGAACCCGAGTTACCACGGCCCGCATCGCCCCCTAGGGCGCCGCGCCAACCCCAGTGCATGGGTGGCCCCAGACAAAGGCAGGTGCGGGAGCTGCGGGGAGTGTGGGCTCCCGGGGGTTCAGTGATGGTGAAGGGAGTGGAATAAGCCTCAGGACTGTTTGCCACTTCCTCTGAAGTGGAAGGGATGGGGTCCGGCCGGTGGGGGCCCCAGAGGACAAAAGGTAACGTTTGGCAGAATGATCCCTCTGGCTCGGCCGTGGTCAGGCGGGGGGGGGGGTCTGTGAAGGACGTCCGTTGTTCCCTTAGAGAAGAAGTGTAAACGGGGTCGGCGGCTGTCGGTCTAAATCTTAGCCGGCTCAGCCAGCCTCCCGGCTCAGTGAGCGAAGTTTCTGCTGCGCTACCGGCCGGGAGGGCTCTGCCCTCCCCTCCAGGCACCAAGCTGCCGGGAGCTAGTGGGCGGGTCCCCCACCCCTGTCCCGCAGGAGGGAAGACCCAATATGCAGAACCTGAAATCACACTTGCAAGCAGGGATGAGACTCTGCCTTTGGAGGCAGGACTGGCTCTGTTCGCCCCAGAGACATAAACACCATTCCAGAATTGGTGGAAAGGCAAAAGTCCAGTTGCCTAAAACGTGTGCCATTTTATCTAGAGAACCTAAAATCGCTGGATGTGTGCCTCTCTGGGGGCAATCAGGTCATTTGCTCTGTGTGCACTTTATTTTCCTAATGTGCTTGCTGGGCATTCAAACAGTGGTCTCAAGTTCTTCTAGACACAGCCGTGCCTCCTCCTTAGGCTGAGGTGGGGGACTACTACTCGGAGGTCTACAGTATCCACTGATGTGTTTTACTGTAAAGCGATAAAAAGGCCTAAGATTTTAGAAGATCCGAGGGGGGAGGTGAATTTAAATGGCAGTCAAGTTAAGATTATCTGTTGCTTCAATGCAGAGGTTTTCTGTTCCTGCTCAGGTCAGCAGGCACGAGAAAGGAAACCCGGGCGGTTTAAGCAAGTACTCAGCTCTTGGAAAAGAAATGCAAATATGTTTATTTACATACTCTTAGCATCCTCTTTGTCCCCAGCACTTCCCTGGAAAAGAAAGGGGAGAAAATCCCTAAGGTTAAAGGAAATTGAAACCAAATTCTACCAGTTAAGGAGTCTGTCGGGCTCCGGGCTAACTGGTGCTGCCCCCAGACGCCAGACCCCTTGGGAGCTTGGCGCCAACCCACCCCCAACTGGGGCACTCTCTTCCCGGGTGAGGAAGTGGAGCCAGGGAGGAGAGAGTGGTCCCCAAGCCGCAGGGGAGCTCACCTGCCCTGGGCACGTCCCACGGAGAGCACAGTCTGTAGGTAGAGGCTGTCACCACGAGGGGTGGGCCCCTGGGCAGCAGGGCGCTGGGCAGCCCAGGCGTGGTAAGTTCTGGACCAGACAGCAGCCCAAGCCCCCTTCCTGGGAGGGAGGCCCTGGCACTGCTTGCCAACGACCCATGAGGGGTCTTCAGCGGCCCTCCCCCTAGCAACCCCCACCCCATAATCCAGGAAAAGGATCCCAGACAGCGTGTAGGCTTCGCATCCAAATCCCAATGACACAGCGGACAGTCCAGCACGAGCGTCAGGACCCCCGGTCGTCTTAATGTTAGCGCGCTGGTCATTAAACGCCACAGAGAGGTGGAGGGGGTGGGGGGGGAGGGGTTGTTACTTCTCAGGGACTGAGCGCTCTGGCCCGCACAGGGTCTGCGCAGCTCCTCTGGACGCCTCAGCCCCTGCGTGGACAGTGACAGACGGGACCGGGGATTAGTTGCACACGACCAAACACACCCAGAGCCAGGGGACCTGCAGCCTTCCCGAGGGGAACGGGGTTTGCTTGCTGGCGCAGGGCCGCGCTGGAATCAGAAGCCCTGGGGGCTTGTCACCCGCAGATTGCTGCCTCCACCTGGCGCGTGGACTCAGCAGGGTTTTGGGTGGGGCCCAGAGCGCTAGTCCCCAGGCCGGGAGGCTGCCTTGGGCGTGGGTGTAGGCATCTCTGCTCGGCTGCGCCCCCTGCTGGCGAAGGGTCCAGCTGGGCTGGGAAAGGCCATGGCTCCCTCTGCGCCGCTTTGTAAAAGCCCATGGCCGATTCCAGTTTATTTTTAGTTTTTTAAGTTTACTTATTTATTTTGAGAGGGGGGGAGAGGGAATGAGAATGCCAAGCAGGCTCCAAGCTGTTGGCACAGAGCCCCGTGCAGGGCTTGAACCCATAACCATGTGACCATGACCTAAGCCGAGATCAATACTTGAGGTTTAATAACCGACTGAGCCTCCCAGGCGCCCCAGATTGCGGGCTTCCTGGGCCAGAGCGACTGCCGTCCGCTGCCAGTACCCTGGGATTTAGAGGTTATTTGAATTGCTGAATGACATGCCGCTTCCCCGTGACTGTGGGTGACCGTCACATCTGCGTGTCCCTGGCACTTTTCAAGGAAACAGCAGCGAGTCGGAGGAGGACCACAGTGCGGGGAGCCTGCAGGGCCCGCCCTTCCCTGGCGCACACCGGCTGCCGGACCCCAAGCTGCAGACCCCGCACACCAAGATGGACGTCATCAAGAAGGGCCACGCCAAGGACAGCCAGCGCTACAAGCTGGACTACGAATCCCAGAGCACTGACACCCAGAACTTCTCCTCCGAGTCCGAGTCCAAGCGGGAGGCGGAATATGTGAGGGCTCTCCCCCTCCTCAGTCCTCCTCCTCCCTTCCCCCCCTCCTCCCCTCTCCCTTCCCCTTCTCCCTCCCTTCTCCCCATCTCTCCCCCCCTTCCCCCTCCCTCCTCCTGGTGGGTGGTGGATGCCAGCCCCAGGCACTCGGCCCCCTTCCCACTTCAGGGATCTCATGGGCTTCTAGGTGGATGACATTGGCGGGAACGCCCCGAATGCCCTGCACAGAGATGGTCCGTGGGGCTGGTGTTCTTTTGTTTGCCGGCTTCTGACCTGTGGTGACTCCGTCCCCAGGCCTTGCTCAGGGGACCTCATGACAGACAGGGAGCCACAGTCAGGTCCTTCTGGGAATGGTGTGGCAGGTCCCTCCAAGGGTGCATGGGGCCGTGTGAGGCCGCGAGTGCTCCCCGGTGACCCGTGGCTCCCCACCTTGCCCCAGGGGCCCTGCCGCCGGGAGGTGGAGGACACCCTGAACCGCCTCAAGTTCTTGGATATGCTCAGCCCCGGGGGGATCCACATCCCCAACTGCGACAGGAAGGGCTTCTACAAGAAAAAGCAGGTGAGCGCCACCCTCACGAGCATCCCTTGCTCGCTGCCCTGATGCCCAAGGAAGGCAGCCATGCCCTCCCACCGCCCATGCCTACCCATGGGCAGCGCCTCGCACCACCACCCCACCCTGGGGCCCTTGGTTAACTGGCGGCACACAGACCCGGCTGCACCCGATCAGGGGTGACGTCATGAATGACCATTGTAAGGACATAAGGTCACGGGCCACAAAGCCTCCCTGAGACCCCCGCCCCCCATTCCTGGCAGTGCTGACACATGGGAGGTGTTGTTACTTTAAGCCACGGTCAGTGCGTCTCTGTAGAGCAGGTACTGCGTTATGGCCCCACTGGATCTGCAGAACAGAGGCCATGGCCAAAGTGCTTGTGGTCCAGCTTGGGTTCCAGGGCTTGTCTGCCCTGGCCATCGTTTCATCTTCATCACACGTGTTTCCTGCCGTCCAGTAGGCAGCAGCATCTCTGCTCCCCGTTCATTCCTATTGGTCACTTGCTCAGCACACCCACACTGAGACCCCTCTGCGCAGCTTGGGATGTGGTCTGGGACACGTGCGCTCTGAGATGTGTGCACCCTGGGACGTATGCCCACAGGGCAGGTGCCCCAATCCCCAGCTGTGCCTGCAGGGCCACAGGCTCCAATGTCTACCTGAGGCCCAAGGGACACATAACCGCCCTGGCCCTGCCTCTCTGGAGGACCCACTCCCACATGCAAGCCTGCAACCACCCTGTGCACACGTGGCCCTGAGAGAGCCTCTGTGGGTCGGGATGCCGTGGCGGCGCCTCCCGGGCTCACTGTGTCCCCTGTGCCCTCCCACAGTGCCGCCCATCCAAGGGCAGGAAGCGAGGCTTCTGCTGGTGCGTGGACAAGTACGGGCAGCCACTGCCCGGCTTCGACGCCAGGGGGAAGGGCGACATTCACTGCTACAGCATGGAGACCAAGTAGACGCTGCTCACCACGTAAGCCTGGGGGCCTGGACTCGGGGGCCGCTGCGTCTCGGGAAGGGGGGACAGACCCCTCAGGAGGGCGTGGCCCAGGGAGCCAGGATCTGAGGTCAGGGTGTCTCCGAGGCCATTCCTGTTGCTGGAAGGATCTTGGCCACATTTCATTCACACACACACACAATGCGGAGGGAGAATTCCAAAAGCGAGCTTTCCCCCTGCAGCTGCTGGTGGTTTTTTTCCATGGACGAGCTGTCCAATCCACACGGACTTGTTCAAGGAACATGCTGCAAACTTAAAGGCGTGGCTGGTTTTTTTCTGTGAAACACGTGAGGGACATCCCCACAGCCTGTGATGGATACAATTGTAATAAAGTGTGTTCTCCCCTACACAAAAAGGAGATTTTGATTTATTTTTTTATTTTTTTAATATTTTATTTATTTCTGAGGGAGAGAGAGAGACAGCGTGGGCAGGGGAGGGTCAGAGAGAGGGAGACACAAAGTTCGAAGAAGGCTCCAGGCTCTGAACTGTCAGCACAGAGCCCGACGCCGGGCTCAAACCCACGAACTGTGTGATCATGACCTGAGTGGAAGTCAGATGCTTAACCTACTGACCCACCCAGGTGCCCCAAAAAAGGAAATTTTTAAGCCATGACTTTGAAGAATGCCCTCGTGTTCGGTACTGTTCTCTCTCTTAATGAACGAGAGAGCCATTGAGAAAGCAGAATATGTGTGTTTGGTCTCCTGGAGAGAAATTTGAGTAAATAGAAGAAATTTTCATATTTAGTTATGTGTTTGTTTCCCTTCAAGTGGGAAAGAAAGAATTCGCGTTTCTGGGTGGGACTTGGTGACTCTGCCAGCATCTCACCTGGGACAGGTGCTCTTTGCTTTGCTGACAGTGTGGGGCGACCTCTCCCCCCCAACCCCAGCACCCAATGCCTGGGTCTCGCAGCTGGTTATCTCGGGGCAGGAACTGAGCCTTTCCATGTGGGGTTATTTCAACCTGTTTCCTTCTCTGTTACAGTTCGCGTGGAGCTCAGAAACGCCTTATTTTGCACAAGAGATTGCCAAGGACATGATCAGCGTCTGACTACAGCCTCAATTTATATTTCTTTTTGTGGTGAATTGATTTTTCTTGTAACCAAAGTTTAGGAAGAGATGTCTGCAGCGCTAGGGAGCTTCTGGGTGGTGGGCTGGAGCCCCTTCCGCTGCCCGCGGGTCCGTGAGACGCAGCTTGGGCTTTCTTCTCGCTTCCTTTAAAAATTTTTGTAACTCAGAGCCGCCGGACCTCACCTGTCCCCGAGTGCCCTCCCACGCGGCTGGCCCTCTGCTCCAAGACCGAGCAAGCGTTGCCCCTGTAGAGCGCACGGTCCGTCCCCACTCGGCCTCTGTTCTGCAAGAATGGGGGACCCCGCGCCCTGCTCTCCGGACATCTGGGCCCACCTACCCGGAGGCGAGGCCCTGGCGTCCTGGCTCCGGCGGTGACAGAGATCTCGCGAGTCTTCGAGTGGCCTGTCCTGGGGAACTAGCAGGGAGCACAGGTGGAAAAGAGAAAAAAGACCCAGAATGTTCTAGGGAGTGACTCCAGAGACATGCAGGGAGGGGGGCGGGTGACTGGGCTTTGCTACGGGGGGGGGGGGGGGGGGGGGGGACAGCAGGACTCACCCCCTGGATCCCAGGGCAGGGTTCTTTGATGACTGACTGCAGAAAATAGCATTTTCCTGTTCAGCAATTCCAGAAGGAGGTTTATTTTGGGGGGTTTTGTTTTTTGTTATTTGGGGGTTTTTTTTTATCTTTTTTTTTTTACCACAAGCTCTATAAAGACAAAGGATGTTTATTTTTTTCTCTCGCCTTTGTCCTCCTTGGCACAACGTAAAAAGAGTAAAAGCAGTTTCATCACCTACAAAGACGGCTTGTCGGGGACACTGGGGGCACGCAGAGAAGCTCGGGTCCCCGCCCTTGGCCTCGTGCTGCATGAGTCACACGCAGGCGCAGAGGAAGGACGTTCTCCACGAGCTGTCCCCCGGAGAGGCCAGGACCCGTGCTGGGTCCCGTAGACAAGACACGAGCCGCACTGGCCGAGACAGAGAAACACCAAGTCCCCGGCGAGTGGGGCTCAGGCGGCAGGGGAGCGGGGACGCCCCCTGGTGGATGCGCCCCCGCCCGGCCTTCCCCCAGAGCGCCAAGGGCTCTCCAGGCCCTCTGCCTACCTATTAACTTTCCTTTATTTTTTTAATTAAGTTTTTGGGAAAAAAAGGTATTTTTGAACAGTTTGTCTTGCATTGTATTTATAAATAGTAAATAAAGTTTTTACCGTAAAAACCTGCCTGCCTCGTGTTAGTGAGTGCCGCTGGTGAGATAACGGCACACAGCGCAAGTGTCCGTTGACAATGGCCTTTGCCGGCCCACCTGGGGGGGAGGGGAGCACCCCAGCGAGACCCACCCCAGGCCTCTGCTGGCCCCACCGCGGTGCCGCGGTCAGCCTGCTGGGAATCTGCAGTTCGAGGGGCGAATTGGGGCCCCATTTCTGTGGGACCGGCCCTCGCCACATTTAGGTGGTATTCCCTATTGACCTGTCCCCATCGGACAGTGTTCACCACTGGCCCGGGGAACCCACCCCGGATGACCTGTCCCATGACCCTTTCAGCCCCTGCTTGGAGAGCAGCAGATGAGGCAGGAGGAGACGGGGACCTGGAGACACTGGGTAGGTGCCCACCTCGGCAGGAGCCTCCAGGCCCAGAAGGGTGAAGCGCATGTCACAGAATTGGCTGTTAGAGCCCTAAGGGACTTGTTAAAGAAGCATCTAAGATTGGGCCACGCCGTTCCGGCTGGCATGGAGCTCTGGAGCCGTTCGCAGGAGCAAGGAGCACAGGGGTGGCCCCGGGGGGGGGGGGGCGGGGAGAGCTGTGCCCGCGCTGACTGGAGGAGGGAAGGAGCTGGTGAGCAGAGAAGCCCGTGGGGGCAGCAGGTGCCGGGGTCACAGGGGGCGTGGTCACAGGGGGCGTGAGTCCGGCAAGCGTCGGAACCCGGGGCAGGAGCTCGCAGGCCTTTGAGTGCCACTGTGGGTAAGGACCGCAGGTGACGCCCGCTCTGGGGCTGCCTTGCTGGGAGCGCAGCATCTGGTGTCCTCCTTAACCTCCACCCCCTGCCCACTCCCCCGCCCTCAGCCCCCCAGCCGGCCCTGCCTGGGAGCTCTCTGCCTCCCACACCACAACCCCATCCCCTTAAACACTCACACGGGGATGTGGCTAAGCTTCCACAATAGGACACCCCCCCCCCCAGGAATTATCCCACCTAAAATGTCACTGATGCCGAGACTGAGGGACTCTGAAACAGCTGTTAAAGTTTGCCAGTTAGACAGAGAGAGGCAGATTCTTCTGCTAAAAATCAAGGTACGTTTTATTACGAGAGAGAAGGCTAAGACCTAACGGGTAGAAAAGTGAGTTCAGGAAAAGCTATCCAAAACATAGAGCAGCTGTCCCATCAGAACTAATAGATTTAAAACCAAAGAAAGTTGTGTTGTAGGCGGGGAAATCACCACAGGCTGACAAGGATAAATTAGCCAGGGAGTCCTTAGTCATTCTAAGGCACCTAATGAGAGAGCTTGCAACTATTTTATTTGAAAATTACTATGATCACACAATGTTTAACCTATTTTCATTGTTGACAGCTAAACAGAAAGAAAATCAAGAAGGGATTTAGGGAATCTTGAACCTCAAAACTAACCAGCTTAGCCCACCCAGCTCTCATGGGGAAATTACACACAGCACATCCTTCTCAAGGACCCACAGAACAGTGAGAACTGGATCATGTATCAGGTTGTAACAAAGCCTCAGGGTGCCTGGGTGGCTCAGTCAGTGGAATATAGAACTCTTGATCTCGGAGTTGTTAGTTCGAGTCCCACTTGGGTGTAGAGATTATTTTTTAAAAATCTCAGGGCGCCTGGGTGGCTCAGTCAGTTGAGCATCCGACTTCAGCTCAGGTCATGATCTCACGATTTGTGAGTTTGAGCCGCACATCGGGCTCTGTGCTAACAGCTCGGAGACTGGAGCCTGTTTCAGATTCTGTGTCTCCTCTCTCTCTGACCCTCCCCTGCTCACTCACTCACTCTCTCTCTCCCTCTCTCTCTCAAAAATCAACATTTAAAAAAACTTTTTAAACAAAATCTACAAATAGAGCAAATATAACTAATCACATGAGTATATTAAAGACCAAAACAGTGATACTTTAACACAGACACTTGTAAGAGCAGTTTACAAAACTCAACACAGTAAAAACCATGAATAAGTGACGAGTGTAAGAGGACTTCCATTACCCAATAATGTGTGACCATGAAAACACCAAACGTGCCAAGCACCGTCAGAGGCGGGGGGACTTTAGGAGCAGCTTACCCCTTCCCTTCGGCAGCCTGAGAGAGGGGGGCTCGCACAGGCAAAAAAGTGGACACATAACGATCGGAAGGCGTGGGACTGGCAGATGTTCTGATCTTTTACATGGAAACTGTCACAGAGTCTAGAGGCAGGTAAGTTACGGTAAATAAGAGCACCACCAATGCCGGCTGGGTGTAAGAACACACAACGGTGAACTTCCTTTCTAAACACCAGCAACAAACAACAAAATGTAATTTACAAGAAGACCCCATGTAAAATAGTCACAGGATAGCAATTGTTAGTAACTTTTTAATACCTGGAAATAACCAAATTGCCCTGGAGAGGAGCTTGGAAGGGTAAACTGTGGCTTATTTGCAGGGTCCCTGTCTTGCAGCCACACACACTATGTATCACTCTGTAGCGTAAGGCTCGGAAATGAAGTCTCTGAAAATCACATGCTGTGTGGGACACTTTTTAGGATCTTTAAAAAGTTTTTAATGTTTATTTTTGAGACAGGGAGAGACAGAATGCCAGCAAGGGAGGGACAGAAAGAGGGAGACACAGAATGTGAAACAGGCTTGAGGCTCTGAACTGTCAGCACAGAGCCTGACGTGGGGCTCGAGCTCACCAACTGCGAGATCATGACCTGAGCTGAAGTCAGACACTTAATCGACTAAGCCACCCAGGTGCCCCAGGATGTTTAAAAAAATAGGGGTGCATGGGTGACTCAGTGGGTTCAGCGTCCAACTTCAGTTAAGGACATAATCTTGCAGTTCATGAGTTCGAGCCCCGTGTGGAGTTCACTGCTGGTGGCACAGAGCCTGCTTCAGATTCTCTGTCCCCCTGTCGCTGCCCTCCCCCACTTTCACTCCCTCAAAAATAAACGTTTAAAAAAATCACCAAAACCATCTAAAATAAAAACATACTTGAATAAATAAGTACAGAGGAGCTACAACTATATCCACAGTGAAGCCATGAGCAACGCGTTCACTATAAATTATTGCCTCGGTTGTGGTTTTCAAGTTGAGACCACAGACCTTTCTCACATTCTTAAAAAGAGAACACGTAATAAGAGAGCCAGGGGTGCCTGGGTGGCTCAGTCGGTTGAGTGTCCAGCTTCTGCTCAGGTCATGATCTCGCAGTTTGTGGGTTTGAGCCCTACGTCAGGCTCTGTGCTGACAGCTAGCTCAGAGCCTGGAGCCTGCTTCACATTCTGTGAGTGTGTCTGTCTCTGACCCTCCCCTGCTCTCGCTCTGTCTCTGTCTCAAAAAGTATTAAAAATTTTTGAAAAAAGAGAAAGAGAGCCAAACGCAGGCCTGCAAGGAGAGGGTGCTATTCCCTGGGGGTTGTGAGGACCATAGCAGTTGATTAAAACGGGTTCAAAGACAGCAGGGCGAGAAGCTGGGGCCAGTGAGCACAGGTGAGCACAGGTGACCCCCGATGTTGGCCCTCTGAGCTGGCAGCCTCCGTGGCTCTCGGCTCCCACCTCGTTTTCTTCCGCTAGAATCCAGAGCAGCCTCTGCTGCCAGAGGCTTCCTTCTACAGCTCAAATCTGACAGTGTGGCTCCCACCACCACAGTCTTTATTGTTAAATTTATTTATTTTATTTATTTATTTATTTATTTTTGGAGATAGATGTGCAAGTTGGGAGGGCCAGAGAGAGAGGGAAAGAGAGGATCCCAAGCAGGCTCCACCCTGTCAGCAAACTCACACACCAGGAGATCATGACCTAGGCTGCGATCCCACTCATTCTAGAGCGTTGTCGTCACTCGGTAAGAACCCCCGTGACCTTCAGCTGTTACCTGCCAGCCCCTCTTCCCAGCTCGAAGCAACCACAAATCCCTTGAGGTCTCTACCGCCCTCCCCGTGGTGGGCTTTCATGTGAACAGGATCAGGTAATGCGAGATGGTTTATGCCGGGTCCCTTCCACTGAGCTTCCTGTTTGCAAGCCTCCTCCATGTTGTAGCCTGTATCACTACTTCATTCCTTTCTGTGGCCAATGGATACACCGTGCTGTGTTTACGCATTCGTCTACTGACCAGCTCTTGGACTCAGTCCACCATCGGACCATTACCCATAATGCATCCGAGAACATCCGGGTACAAGCATTTGCATGGACGCGTGTTTCCACTGATCTCGGATATGTACCTAGAAGTGAACGGCTGGGTCCTATGGTAATTCTATATTTCATCATTTGATACTACACCTGATCCTAGTCAAAAGGCCTAGAAGCGATCTATGTTTGATCATTTGAGGACCGGCCAGACTTTTCTTTCCAAAGTGGTTGCACCATGTTGCATTCCTATCCGCGGTGCACGAACTCTGCACATCCCCGCCAGGACTTGTCGCCTGGTGTTTTGACAGCCATCCTAACGGGTGCAAAGTGGCATCTCACTGGGGTTTTGATTTGCGTTTCTCTGATGACTAATGATGTTGAACAACTTTTCATGTGCTTATTGGCTGTTTGAATGTCTTTTTTGGAGAAAAATTCTATTAACATATTTTATTCATTTTTTAATTGGGTTTCTTGATACTCCTGAGTTGGGAGACGCCTGTGTCAGCTAAGCATCTGACTCTCTATTTTGGCTCAGGTCATGATCTCATAGTTTGTGGACTTAAGCCCCTTGCCTGCTTGGGATTCTCTCTCTCCTCTCTCTCTGCCCCTCCCCCACCTGATCTCTTTCAAAAATAAACATTTTAAAAAATCTTTATACCACTGAGTTAGAAGAGTTCTTTATATATTCTAGATACCAGTATTATCATATTTGTAATTTGCAAATATTCCCCCCTCCATTCTGTGGGTTGTCCTTTTACTTTCTTGATAGTGGCCTTTGAAGCACAGGAATTTTTAATTTTGGTAAAATTTGATTTATCATTTTAGTTTTGTCACTTGTGTTTTTGGTGTCATATCTAAGAATCTTGTGCAAAGTCCAAGGTCATGAAGATTTACCACTACATTTTCTTCCAAGAATTTTCTATTTTCACCTCTTATATTTAGATCTTTATTGATTTTTAATTAATCTTTCATAAAGTGTGAGGTAAGGGTCCAATGACATTGTTTTACATGTGACTACAAGCTTTCCCAATCACAGTTATTGAAAAAAACTATTTTATCCTCACTAAATGGTCTTCCAACCCTCATTGAAAATTAGCTAACCATCAGGTATGGGTTTATTAATCGGCCCTCATTTCCATTGCATTGATCTATCTGTATGTCCCTATTCCAGTAACACTGTTCAATTACCATAGCTCTGCAGTAAGTTTTGAAATCAAGAAGTGAGTCCTACAGCTTTGTTCTTTCTCAGGATTGTTTGGGCTATTCTTGGCCCTTTGCAATTCCATATACACTTTGAAATCAGCTTGTTAGCTTCTACATAGAAGTCAGCTAAGATTCCGGAAGGGATTGCATTTAACCTGTAGGTTAGTTTTTGGGTGTTCAATGTTGACAATGTCAAGCCTTCTATTCCATGAATATGGTATGTTTTCCATTTATTTAGATCTTTAATTTCTTTCAACAGTATTTTGTAGCTTTTATTTTGTGCTTCTTTTGTTAAATGTATTAACTAAGTATTTTATTTTTTTAATGTGAAAAAATGAGATTGTTTTCTAAATTTTATTTTGGGGTGTTCTTTGCAAACATACAGAAATACAATTGATTTTTGTATGTTGATTTTGTATCCTGCAACCTTGCTAAACTCATTGAATAGTCTTTTAGTGGATTGCCTTGGATTTTCTAAATGTGAGATCATAGTATCTTCAAATAGAGGTAGCTGTATTTTTCCTTCTTCTGAATACCTTTTATATATTTTTCTTGCCAACTGATAAAACCTCTAGTAGAACGTTGCATCGAGGGTGAGAGCAGATGTCCTTGTCTGTTTCCCGTCTGTGGAGGGGCACACAGACTTTCCCCATTAACTACAATGTCAGCTGCAGGATTTTCCTAGCTCCCTTTCATCAGCTTGAGGAAGCTATTTCTATTCCTCGTCTGTTGAGATTTATTTTGTTTTCTTTGGTTTTGTTTTACCATGAAAGGGTAGTGGATATTATCAAATGCTTTCTCTGGAGCTGTTAAGATGACCATGTGCTTTTTGGGTTTTTACCCTATTGATGTGATTTACCACATTAATTGGTGTTAAGATGTTGGAATCACCTTGCATTCCTGAGATAAATCCCACTTGGTCATAGTGAACGATTATTTTAATACATTGATGGATTCAGCTTACTAAGTGTTTTGTTGAGGATTCTGTGTCCATTGTCCTAAGATACTATGAAATTGGATGCTGAGTTCACAGGTCACTACTGGGGGCTTGGTAGAGAACGGATGGCACCCACAGGGCACAGGGTGAAGGGACAGACCCAAGGTGGGGAGGTGGAGTCCAGACTGCAGAGGGTGGGGGTGTGATGACAGGGAGATTCTGGCTGTCCCCACAGTCAAAGGACGGGGCCTCCCAGGAGAGAGGCTAGAGTCAGCCAGAGGCCAAGTGGGACCCGCAGGAATAGAGGGGACACGGAAGGAAGAGTCTGCAGGGCAGGATCAGGAAAAACAAGTTGGTGAAGGGATAAGGGATCCGAGGAGCAGGGAAGCCACACTCAGGACCCAGCCATCACACAGAAGGCCCGCAGGGTGCCCGCCTGAGGCAATGAGTCCCTGTAGACCCTGCAGAGGACAGAGACAGCAGGGGAGGAGGGGCAAATGAAGGATGCGCTGGCTCATGTCCCACAAGCAATCAGGGACCCAGGGAAGGGGCAGATCATCAGAGGTCAGGCCCCAGGAGGTGCATAGGGGGAAGGGCACACTTGCCAGCTGCAGACTGGGACCCTGAGCCACCAAAGCTGTGTGAGAAGGGGTGAGTGAGAAGGGTTTTTCAGAAACAAAGGGATACATTCAACCAGCGTCTACAGTGGTCAGGTGTTCCCAGGTGGAGGATTTATCCGACACGTCAGCCCCATGCAGCCCATGCCAGTCTTAACTCAGAGCAACACCTCCACGTGCAGCTCTGGTCACACGATCAGCACCTAACTCTCCCCGCGAACTGACACACGTTCAATCTGTGGGTACAGAGCGAGCCCTCCTTCAGCACAGTTCAACCACCCCCGTTAGGCCACCCGAAAAAAAAACACTGCCACACACTTCAGTTTGCATTTTCCAGGCTGTATTTCCCCATGCTCTGCAGAGACAGAAGCGGGGAGCTCTGAGGAGTTACAAGTATTTACATCCATCGACATGAATGTGTCTCATGATATACAAATCAACACAGCGACATGACTGTGTAGAAGGATACATGTACACTGAATAAATACACAGCTGTAAGTGTCACACACACGTGCTCATATACACATACATATACAGAGAGAGAGCGTGTCGTTTCCAGAGTATAAATAGGCTAGGTACTTAAATATTTCCCGGGAGGTGACGGAAGACGGTGCACCTGCTCACAGCTCTATCTGCTGAAATACTGACTGCAGTTGGGGTCGCCTCTGACCTCCACGGACCCCGGGATCTTGTCCTTGCTCCAAGGGTAGACGCACCAGCAGAGCCCGGGCTCATCGTCCAGCGACGTCTCGCACTGCACAGGCAAGACACACAAGGTCATGGTCAGGAGCCACCCCGTGAAGCTGGGAGAAGGCAGAGCTCCACATGGCTGAGAGCTTGGCCACGGGCACGCCAGCTAGCCACGGCCATGATTGTGACCTGGGGCACGCCCAACACCCTCCCGCCCAGCCCTCCCTGCAAAACAGAGCCAGAGGCCGGTATGCATCACTGAGGACACCCTGCAAGTGTGAAACGGCTCAGCGTGTGCACGGCTGTCTGCTCTGGGGGCCTGACAGTGAGCCACAGAGCCCAGGAGCACACTCCATGCGCGGCCGCCACCCCCTTGGACTCCTGGGCAAATTTCGCATTAGGAAAACGCTGCCTGGTCCTCACTTTCCCCTGCCTCCACCCCCAGAGCCTGCGTTTCACTGGATCCTAAAGAGCTCCTGAAAATTAAGTGCAGGCTGTTTCTGATCTCATGAAAAACGTGCAGGCTGAAGCACGCCACCGTGTTTATGAAGCCCATCATTTCTCTTTGTGGGGAGAAAGGCAGTGCGAGATGTCCAAGTAGACACCAGCCTTCCTAAGTAGGACCTCCCCGCGTGTTACACAGGAGACAGATCTGGAGCCTGAGGGCCCATCCCCCACCTGTTCGGGCTCCACCAACAGCCCTTGGCCAAGCGAGGGCTCTGGGACCCCCCCCCACACACTGGCCAGGACCAGGAGCTGGTCCTCAGGCTCCCAGGGTCTGGCTTCCCCTAGTCCTGAGGCGCAACTCTTCCCCTAATACGGACCCCCCTGCTGCGGGTTAGGAGAGGGGGCTCTGCAGGGCGGCCCCCACGAGGATGCCCCGTCACGGCACGCACCTGTCTGCTGTGGTAGAATCCGTTCTTGCTGCAGTTGGGCAGGTAGAACTTGTAGCGCCGTCCAGACCCCTGCTGCTCCTCGGCCAGACGACCCAGCACTTCGTGGAGGTGCCGATGGCAGGGCCCCTGGAAAAGCAAGGGGTGAACTGACGGGAGGGGTCCTGGGGGACTGGCGGTGGGGGTCAGGCCTGTTCTCCTGTGGAGGCATCTCTCTTAGTTGTCAGCATGAAGGATGGGGTGTACGCCAGCGCTCCCTGAATGCTGGCCACACCCCTGCAGGGAGACATGAGTTCCCCCATCCCCACGGCCTTCCCCCCCACCCCTCTGCCCCATGGGGGCTTCACCGCTCAGCAGAGAGTTCCAGACTGTAAACGCCTTTCCTCTATTTCGTTATTTCACAGACACCAGATCAAGCGAGGCCGAAGCCACCCAGCCGGCGCCTGGACAGAAGACTGAACCTGTGTCCACACGCCATTTCCAGATGCGACTCTGAAGTGTCTGGGAAGTGGGCCAAAACCCCCACTTTTCTGGGGGTGCCTGGTGGCCGGAGCTACATTCTCGCCCTTTTCCACACACCAGCCCTTCGCCCCAACTCTGATTCTTGGTCGCCCTCACGTGGTAGAATGAAAAACGGCCAGTGAATCCACAAGGACAGAGTTGCCACGTGGGAAAATAAACCAGCTCCCGGCAGGGATGGTGGTGACCCTGGCAGAACTGACGCCACGAAACTATAATGTGGCCAGCATTGTAAACGTTATGCTATGTGCACTGGGCCACCATTTTTAAACGGGGATGGCCGTTAGTCCTGAGCTGAGCTCTCAGGCCCAGGTTCAGACGCCCGGCTCAAAACGCCCAGCAGGCTTCTCGGCTCAAAGTCCTCTCAGGAAAGCCAGGCAAAGCTATGGACTCTACCCGCCTTGGGAAGCAAAGTGCTGATTCCTGGGGCTTCGGGCACGGGGAGCCTCCCCACCCTGCCAGACACCCGCCTTGCGCCTCACCTTCCACGTGGCCACCTGCCCCCTGGCGTTCATGTAATCACTGATGGCGTTCCAGAGAATGGGCGTGTTGTCGTTCGAAGGGGCCATCAGGTGGAAGTTCTCCAGGAGCTCCTCCTGGGTCATGTCGGCACTCTCGGAGGACGACATCACATCTGGAAAGGTCAGCACCCAGGCCGTGAGTGCTACCCGCCCCCCCCGCCCTGAGCGTCTGTGAGTGCCCCCTTGAGCGTCCCCAGGCGCAGACCCAAGGGCAGTCAAGTTGACCTGGGGTTTCGCCCACTTCCTCTTTAAAGGTGCCTCGGACACTTTCCAGGAAGCATGACGACGCAGCAGCAGGTCTGTGCTTTGGGGGTCTGGCAAGTCCCCCCGTGTTTTTGCTCCTAAAGCAGCAGGCAGGTAAAGCCACATGTACGTTTGGATTCGGTGGGCGGACAGAGTCACAGAGAACTGGCTCTCCATTTTACTGAGTCTGAAGTCAGGGAACCAGTGGGAAAATGGGGGTCCCTCCTCGGAAGGGTCATGCACCCCAGCAGATTCCTACCAGGCTGTGGGAGCGCGGGATTCCTCGGAGAGTCACGAGGACGTGCAGCCGCCCACCCGATGGGGAGGTGGGGACGGGGTAGAGGAAGAGGTGCTTCCTCTACTTCCCACTACAAATAAATCACTGCTAAATTCAGGAAAGGTCTGATTGTCCTTGGAGGCGACGTGCACATCAAACACTGTTTTCCTATGGCGGCGAATGTAAGCGGGTTTACAGCCTGCGCTCACACTATGTTCTGTAAACACTCGGGCAGCACATTGTCTCCACAGGGGTCGGCTACAGAGCACATTCTGAACCCTCCCCAGGGGTCCGGCAGGAGGGGTGCCCAGGCCAGTCCTCTGCAGAGGCTCCTGCCCCCCTCCCTGACTCTCCCACCGGGCTGTGGGGGCCCTCCAGGCCCTCCTCCCCTTTGGGGCCCCTCCTGCAGGACCACGAAGTGAAAGGGCTCGTCTAGGTGACTGAAGGCCCTTTCCCCTTGGAGCTCTGGACTTGGGGAGATTTGCTCCACACCTGCTGCTTCTCCAGGGGGGCGAGGGGGGCCCTGCCCCCGTCCACCCTCCCTAATGTGTCAGGGGGAGGGGCACCCCGCGGGGGCATGTCGTACCTGTGTCACCACCGGTGGGCACGCAGGTGCCCTGGCCACGGATGAGGGCTTGCAAGGGCCGCTCCTCCCCTGGCCGCGCACGGCAGCTGAGCCCGCTGGCGCAGCGCGCACTGGCGACGCCACAGGTGGTGCCCTCAGACAGCGTGCACACCGGGCAGCAGCCACAATTGGCAGGCCGGGTGCTCTCGGTGCAAGAGGCAGGCACCGGCGGGCAGAGCTGCAGCTTCTCGGGGGAGCAGGGCGCACACTGCCATGGCTGGGGAGCCCCAGTGGTGCCGCCGAGCTGGACGGCCAGCTGGAGCAGAAGCGGCCAGGCGCGGGCAGCAGGGACCACATGCATTGTCAGTCAGGTGCGGCGGACGGACAGATGCCGGCGCTGGTGGGGCAGTAGTGGCGCGGCAGCAGGTGCCCTTGGGCAGAGGTAGCCGGTGCTCACGGGCAGATGTGGCCGGTGCTTACAGGCAGAGGTAGCTGGTGCCCATGCTCGGTGCTTGCTGGGAGCTGCATGTGCCTTATAAAGGGTGAGGGGCCGCCCCGCCCCATCAGGGAGGTTAATGATTGCCAGCACTGCGTGCTTGGGGCTGGCATTCAAAATAACGTTGGAAAAAAAAAAAAGAGTTTGTTTTGCTCCTGTGCTCAAGGCCCTGCGCAAACCGTGGGTGGAAGGAGGGCCACCGGCCCAGGTTTCCAACCTGTTTGTCCTGTCGTTATGGTTCCGACCTGGAGCCAAAGTGCAGCTCTAGCCAGGAGCCCACGGCCAGGACTCGCTTTGTTCAAGGGGCATCCACCTGCCCACCCCCCAGTGTGGTTGTCCCCAGACAGGAGGGGAGCAGAAGACATGGGCTGGGCAAGGCCAGCCTGCCTACCAATTTTCAAACGGGAAACCAAGGCCCAGGGGGAGGCCGGGAGGAGCCCTGGGCAGTTTTCGAGACAAAGCCCAGAACTGCCTCTCCAACCACAGGAAGGCCTCCAGCCCCCCGGCCCGGGCTCATCACAGCCTCTCCCATGAGTGAGCATGGAAGGGAAGGGACATCTTCCCCAGGGCTGGTGCCAAGCTCTTCCCCAGGCTCACCCCTACCCCCAGAGACTGGCCTTGCTCACTGGCTTCCCGAAGGGATCGGTACTCATCGCCCATGAAGAGATGGGGCTGGGGCGGCAGAAAGGAGCCCAGACCCCAGGCTTCCTGACTTTCTCACCCAGACCACATTTTTATCCAGCCTTGATTACCAAGTCTTTTTCTTTAGTGAAAACTCCTATCTATTGGATATCCTCTGAGGTTGCAAGGAAAAAATGTCACAGTACCTTTAAAGGCAGCAGCGAGAACCAGGCCCCCTCATCCCCAGGACAGGCAGGGGCTTTGGTGGACACCTGATCCCGGACACCAGGTGGCTATAAGCAACAAGGAGGCGGCCCTACATTGCCAGATACAGAAAATCCCTGAGATCGGTGAACGCTTGTAAGTTAATTTCCAAGGGACAGTACAATTTGTGTATAAAAAAATAATATGAACAGGTATGTCCTGTGATTATGAATTTGTGGGAGATTTGGGGAAGAACAGAGACGTCACTGGGATCAGCATCTGGTGTGGTGGGGACGGGCGTGAAATCAGGTCCCTGAGGGACTGGCCTCCCAGGCACAGGGGTTTGCCTTTCCAGATCTGCGTTATGAGTAGACACTACGCTATTCCATATAACCAGGTATTTGCATCGCCGTTCATGGTATCGACCTCAAGGGTAATAAACAAGTCACAATTAACATACTGCCGCCTCCTGAAGCCACTCAGCTGGGCCTGGGGCCTGGCGTCAGCGCCCTGGCTTTACTCCAGCTACGATCAAAATAAGGTCAGCGGAAATCACTGCAGTTTCAAGTTCAAGGTCATGTTTGTCATTATTTTTACAGAGCGAAGTTTAGTGTCTGGGTGAGGAGCTGACCAATGCTTTCGACTAAATGAACGTTATTTTTGATGTGGGCTCCTAAGGGGTCTCGTTTCCTAAAGGAGAATCTGTGCTCCGAATTTGCTCTGATTTGCTCTACTCAAAATCTGTGTCCACCTGAGATGGCCCCTTAGAGACTCATGTGAAAGAGAGGGTCATCTGGTAAATATTCACGGCCCGCCTACTGTGTGTGGCCCAGTGCCAGCCCTGGACAGTTCACCCTGTTGTGCACTTGCCCAGTGAGGCTCCCACCCCCACTGCAGGTCTTGCTTGTCCAATGCATAGCGGAAGTTCCTCTCCATGTAGATCGATTTTCCAAACATCGACTGCCACTGCTTGCCTCAGAGCAGCAGTAAGAAACCAAACGGCCACCAAATCCAGAGAGAAGCTCTCCCCTTCTCTGGCCACAACACCACAAATGGGGCGGGTTATCCTGGGGGCCTCGGGGACCGCCTGTCTGTCTGCCCTGGGGATGTCTGTGAATCCCAGGTCCTGCTGCTCCCGGGGGGCATCACAGCTCTGCCTGGCCTTCCACGCCCCCAAGTCTGTGCCACGGTGACTTCGGTGACTCCCAGTCAGCGGCCCACTTTGCCCAATCACCCCTACTGGGGAGAGGAGGTGCAGGGGGGCTGACAGGGAGCCCCTGCTCACGTGTTACACCCTAGGAGCCTCATCTGCCTCACCCCTAATCCCTGCCCCCCTCCCAGCACCTCCCAGCACCCATCTTGAGCTTCCATCTAGCCACCTGTCCTTCCCCCAGCAGAGAAACCAAGAGGGAGGGGCCGTCCCCGCAGTGCCCACAGGTGGGGCCGGGCATGAGGACGGGCTAGCCGATCACCACACACAGGGCAGCAGGAGGGACGCCCCGTGAGGGCTGACTACAGGCTGGTCCTCGACGTGACCGCTTGCATGGGGAGCCCGGCCAACAGCAGGAAAGAGGGCACGGGGCCACACATGGGCGTATGCCACAGAAGGTGCCAGGCCAGGCAGGTGTTGGAGGAGAAGCAGCGCCTCCCAGACAGCAGAGGATGGGGTTGTGGTGCAGGCAAGTGGGTAAGGCAGGGGCCAGGAGGAGGTCTGGGCACTCGGGAAAGGGCCTAGGGTTCTCTGGCCCAGAAGCTGGAAAGACATCAAAGGAACAGGAGAGAAAGGCCCTAACTGTTGTGTGATGGGCTCTGACCCTGTTAAGGCCAAGAGACACCACGGGAGGGGTGAGGCAGGGCCAGCGGTGCTGGTCAGAAGAGAGTTCCAGAAAGGTCCAGGGCTGCAGGCCCGGAGACCAGAGGCCAGCACTGAGACCCTCCTTCTGAGGGCTGGGTGCCCCTGCCCGTCTGACCTGTTACTACTGAACCCAGGAGCCCAGGGCCAGGAGAGCAGGGACAGGAGAGTGGGGACCAGGGTTTCCTATAGACCTGCTGTATGCAGCTGGCACCAAGCCATGCTCACCAACGTTGCCAGAGGACCCTCCCCGGGATCTCATTATTGGGGATGAAGCCTACTTTGGCCATCACAGCCTGCAAATGTCAGGTGTCAGGGAGGGTCACAGACTCCATGTTCAGGGCCGATGGGGTATATTAGGGAGGTGGGTAGAGTGGAAGGGCAGTTTGGGGGTACACATGGGAAGTGATCTGTGTGGAACACTTCCGTCTACCAGGAAGGAAAGAACTTCACCTCGTGAGTCCTGGCCACAGGGAGCCACCCACCGCACCTGAGGGTGGGGGACACTCTCTGCCTGCACTCCCAGGGGCAGGTGGGGCGTGAAGGGCACAGACCCCACGCATGGTCTTTGCCAGTCCCTTCTGGACGCTGCATGCACATTGCCCTCTGTCTGCAGGAGCTGCGGGGACGGGTGTCCCCTGCTGCGTCTAGGACTCAGGGCACAGCCCACAGGCATGTCGGGGAAGCTGCCGACCTCCCAGAAAGACTGTCTGCACAGGCACCTTCATGTCCATGTCCTGGCCCACCGTGCCACCTTCCTGGGCCTCAGTCTCCCCACCTGTGAGAGGGGGGCTGCGGCCCCCACCCCGAGCCGCAGCGTCCGACCCCACAGAGGCAGGGGCATCACTAGATGATGAAACCACACAAGCTCTTCCGTCACCCAGTCCGGCCTCCATGCCGCATGCCATTTACTCACCAGCAGCCGGAAAGTTGGGCAATCCGAGCTCGCAAAAACAATGCCAGGGTCAAGGGCGAAGTCAGACTTTCAAAGGGCGAGAACGAGGTAGCCCAGAGGCCCCTTGCAGGCAAGTTGTTTTCAACATGCAGGGTGGAAAAAACAAAAAACGTGCCGTGTTCCCAACCGACACCGGGGATGATGTAAATCCATGCAAGCCCCCGGCCAATCCCGTCCCCTGAGTGTGAAGGGCACCGACCTGACAGTGAAGGTACACCCACACCCCTGCTAACCGAGGTGGGGAAGTGGCCTGGTTCCTGTCACGTCCACACAGCCCACACCCTAGACACAGGGGCTCACTGGAGAGCCCGAGGCCAGCACCCCGGGGGCCCCGGGGAAAAGACAGGGCTTTCCTGGGACATGGCGGGCACCCAACCCACATGCACAGCCTGTGTGCTGCTGGGGTACCAAGTGCCAGGCACATGCACGGTACCCAATCCTGTTTGTTCCTGTGACCTTCTGAACCCAAGGGTCACAGGTAGACCAGCACCCCACCCCCGCACCTGGGGCCTGGGTGGAGATGCACATTCCCAGCCCCACCCAGACCCTGACTTGGGGCATGAGTGCCTCGGGAACCCTGGCGCTTCCTCCAGCTTCAGCTTCCAGCTCAGAAAACGCCCCTCTGCTCTTGCCGAGAGGCTGCCTGTGAGAACCGGGGCGCACAGCTGGGGAGGGGGCGACAGACAGGAGAGTCTGTGCGGCCGGTGGATGGGTGGGCTGTGTGGGGGATCCGCAGAACTCTGCAGGAGCCGTCGGACCCCCAGCTCGACCTGAGGCCGCCCCCCCCCCCCGCCGCGGGTGGACTCCCGACAGACCCCCAGCTGGTCCCAGCCGCAGCCCTCCCCGCAGGTGGACCCCCACTGGTGCTCTTCAGCGCCCCGCGCATACCTGGGTCCTCGTGTTCGCGGAGCCTTGACGGTGATTTCCTACAGCTCCTAGAAGGTCAGAAGCGTCTGTGAGTCCGATGCGGAGAAAATGCGGCACCAGACAGGCCTTGGGAACCCCGGAATGGGGGGAGGGGGAAGTCCCCCGCTCTGAGCCCTGGCCTGGGGCCCTCTCTGCACCCACTCACCTGACGTTGTCTACAGCCGTGTCAGAACCTCCATGGCCAGAGTCCCCTCCCCAGGCCCGAGGACCCGATCATGGGTCGTGGGGCCTCGCCAACCCCCAGGCGGCAACAACGTGGGTACTGGTGCGGCCAGGACTGAGGGGACACAGGCCTGCCAGCCCCCCCTCCAACCTGCCCGCTGGGCGCTGACTCGTGCAGGAAAGTGGGGCCCTGCTGTATTACAGTCTCATGCACCGCGCAGACCTCCCCCACGTCACGGCGCCGACGTCCCGGGGAGGCATCTCATGGGGGTGTCTCCCCTATATCACAGCGCCGACGTCACCGGGGGGGCATTCCTCCCCTCCCCCCCGTCACAGCGCGGACCTCCCAGGGGCGTCTCTCCCACGTCACCGCGCAGACCTCAGGGGGGTGTCTGCCCCACGTCATGGCGCGGACCTCAGGGAGGCATCTCCCCCACACCACTGTGCCGACGTCACGGGGCGTCTGCCCACGTCACGGCGCTGGCGTCACGGGAGATGCGTGTCTCTCCCTGTCACAGCGCGGACCTCACGGGGGCGTCTTGTCCAAGTCACGACGTGGACGTGATGCTCGCACATGGGGGTACCGTGGCCCTGGTCACACTGTGCACTCCATGAGTGGCATCACGTTTTCGTCCCCACCTAGTGTTGACGGTATCTTGTTTTGGGCGATTCTAACAGGTGTTCGCTTCTACCTCCTGGAGCTAACTTGCGTCCCCAGATGACGTTCGATGTGGAGCAATTTTCCTGTGCTTGGTTGCTATCTGTTTATCTTCTTTGGGGAATGTGACCACGGCCTTTGGCCATTTATTAATCAGGTTATTTGTTTTCTTGTTTTTGAGTTTTAAGAGTTCTTGTAACATTTTAGGTAATAGTCCTTTATCAGATTGATCTTCTGTAAATATTTTCTTCCAGTCTTTGGCTTTTCTTCTCATTCTCTTTGCATTTTCTTTCAAAGATCAGAAGTTTTAAATTTTACTGAAGTCCCGCTTCTGCATTTTTGCTTTTGCGGGTCATGCATTTGGTATTGAAAAACCCATCGCCATACTCAAGGTGATCTGGGTGGTCCCCATGTCACCTTCCAAGAGTTGATAGCTTTTCATTTTAAACTGAAACCTAAGCTCCATTTGACTTAATTTTTGTGAAAGGTGTAAGGTCTGTGTCTAGTTTCATTTTTTTTGCGTGTGGACGTCTAGGTGTTCTGGCGCCATTTGTTAAAAGATTTATCTCTGAATTGTATTTATTTCCTTTGCTCCTTTGTCCAAGACCAGTGGACTGCGTTCACCGTGCGTCTGTTTCAGAGCTCTCTAAACTGTTCCATTGCTCTGTTTGTCTATTATTTCAGCAACACCCCTCTCTATGCTCTAAATGCATGTATTATAATTACTGTAGAGTCCTGAAGTCAGGCAGTGCCAGTCCTTTCTCTGTTCTTCTATATTATGTTGGCTATTCTGGGATCTTTTGCCTCTTTTATTAAACTGTAGAACCAGTTTCTCAATATCTAGAAAATAACTTACAGCAACTTTGATTGGGATTGCATTGAATCTGTAGATTGAGTTGGGAGGAACTGACATCTTGACAATATTGAGTGTTCCTATTCATGAACATGGGATACCTCTCCATTTACTCACTTATTTGATACCATCCATCAGAGTTTTGTAGTTTTTTACATATAGATCTTGTACATGTTTTGTTATACACATGTATTTCATTTTAGGGGTGCTAATGTAAATGGTGAGTTTTTAATTTCAAATTCCACTTATTCATTGCTGGTGTATTCAAAAGGGATTGACTATATCCTTGTACCCTGCAACCTTGCTCTGATCACTTATTAGTTCCAGGAGCTTTTTCATTGATCCTTTTTGTCATCTGGAAAGATGATTTTATTTATTCCTTCCCAATCAGTATACATTTTATTTCCTTTCCTTGTCTTATTGCATTAGTTAGGACTCCCAGCGTGATGGTAAAAAGCACTGGTGAGAGGGGACATCCTTGCCTTGCTTTGATCTCAGTGGGAAAGCTTCAAGATTCTCACCATTAACTGTGTTAACTTAGGTTTTGTTTTGTTTTGATTTTTAACTTGAGAGAGAGCATGCAAGTGGGGAAGAGGGGCACAGGGATATATATATGTATAAGTATATATATGTATATATGTACATACATACATATATATGTGTATATATTTATATATATAAATATATATATCGAGAGAGAAAGAGAGAAGAGAATCTTAAGTAGGCTTCATGCTCAGTGCAGAGCCTGATTCAGGGTTTAATCCCACAACACTGAGATTGTGACCTGAGCCAAAACCAAGAGTCAGACACTCAACCAACTGAATCATCCAGGTCTCCCTTAGTTTAGGTTTGTATAGGTATTCTTTATCAAATTGAGGAAACTCTCTTTGTTTTTTTTTTTAATGTTTTTTATTTATTTCTAGGAGAGAGAGAGAGAGAGAGACAGCGTGAGCAGGGGAGGGTCAGAGAGAGAAGGAGTCACAGACTGAAACAGGCTCCAGGCTCTGAGCTGGCAGTCAGCACAGAGCCCGACGCGGGGCTCAAACCCACGAACCGCGAGATCATGACCTAAGCGAAAGTTGGACGCTTAACCGACTAAGCCACCCAGGCGCCCCAAGGAGGAGGAAATTCTCTTTGATGCGATGGGCTACATTAGATGATTTTCAAATCTTTTTTTTTTTTAGTTTATTTATCTTGAGAGAGAGCATGCGCACAAGAAGGGGAGGGGCAGAGAAAGAGAGAGAATCCCAAGCAGACTCCGTGCTGTCAGCACAAAGCCCGACATGGGGCTCAAACTCATGAACCCATGAGATCATGACCTGGGCTGAAAACAAGAGTCAGACACTTAACCAACTGAGCCAACCAGGCACCCCAGCATAATTTCTTCTTAAATATTCAGTAGGATTCACCAGTGAGCCTGGCACTTTTGTTTTAGAAGGCATTTTGACAGTTTATCTTTACAAATTTGAATAATTTTAAAGCAGTACTTGTGCTACGATATTTTGCACTTATTTGATTGCTAATGAAGTTTACAGGTTTTTTTCTTTTCTGTGTTGTTTTACAAAAAGTACCAGTCATTTGCCTCTTATTTACAACCTGGGGTCAAATGCAACTTTGAGCACATTTGTTGTGTAGAATCTGTTCTAGGAATATACATGTTGGATATGGGATAGTAAAGTCAATGGGACATAGGACTAGATAGGAATGGGGCTTAGATAGAAAGTTTATTATACTCTGGGTCCTAGAGACAGAGACACAGCATGCCACATGGGGCCACAGGGAGGCACCAGCGTGATCAGGAGGAGGGGAGAGCCGAGCCCATAGTCCTATCAGAGTTTCCATGGAAAAGGCAGAGCAGAACAGGCAGAGTGGTTTAGGCTTGGCTACTTTGAATAATTCCAGCAGGCTGTAAGCTGTAGGGTGTCCCCAGTTGCCTGGCGCCTGGCCCTGGAGTGATGAAGCCAGAGAGAATTGTCCCCTGGGGATTCCCTGCACGTGGTCATAAAGCTCAGCGCGTGGTTCTCACTGTCCCGGGCTGTCTGCATGTCTCGTCCAAAGCCCACAGCTTCAAAGTGACAAGAGCCAGGCTCTGAGCTGGACTGTCCAACACCAAGAGCGTTATTTGCACCTGTGTGGAAGGCTGCGGTGTGGCAGGCCCATGGGCACGTGCGTATCCACAACTTGGACTTGAATCATGCCCGAAATCAGCCTTGGCATGGTGAGAGGTGTCCAGCTCCGGGCACTGCACAAGGAATGTGCGGGGCCCTCGGCGGGGACCAGGAGCAGGGCCTGGGGCCACCTCCTCCACAGACTGCCTAGACCCCCACACTCCTCCCCAGAGGGCTGCCAGTGCAGCAGTGAAGGGTGCTGGTGACAGGTGATGCCTGGGTGCCAGACTGACATGACCCTGGACACACTCTGCAGGTTTCGAAATTGTTTTTGGTCACAAACACAAAAGAGCCTTTTGCTGCACTCAAAGCACTGTGCCCAAGTGCCAGGGGGTCAGCGCACACTTGGGAGCCAGGAGCACAGGGGACACAGGCAATGGCCTGACACAATGAGGAAACATCAGGGCATTGGGATGTCAGGGCAGCCCCACTGGGTTCACTCCAAGACTTTAAACAAACTCTTCCCTTTTGTGGCCCTCACATTCCCCATGGGGAAAATGATGGCCTGTACAGGGTGAGGTTTTTAAAAATTATTGCTTACTAATTATATGTTACTGTTAGAAAAAGTGAAACGGATTTCAGTGATGTTAAAATTCACCCATCGTCTGACCACTAGGTCCTACCAGCATTACTATTTCTGTGAATCCACAAAACGGTGAATCTTTCTCGGTTCCTGCAAGGCCGACCTGGTGTGGAGAACGAACTGTGGCAGAGGTTGGTCAGGTAGGCCCTGGCCTCTGCCTGCCCCGCCCCTGCCCCTCAGTCCCACTCCCGGAAATGCTTGTGGGGGTGGAGGGGGGTGGGCTGGGGTGAGGAAGAGGGGTGAAGAGGGTAAGGGAGTATGGTGGAGGGGGGTAGAGGGGGTAAGGGGTGAGGTGGGCTGGGGTGGAAGAGGTGGAAGGGGGATGGAAGGGGGGTGGGGGAGTGGGGTAGAGGAGTTAGGGAGGTGGAGGGGATAGGTGGGAGTGCATGGAGGGGGGCTAGGGTAAGGTGGGGTGGAGGGGTGTGGGGTTGGGAGTGGAGTAGGGGAGAGGGGTATGGGTTAGGGAGGTGGAGTGAGGGGATGGGGGGATGGAGGGCTAGGGTAAGGTGGGGTAGAGGGGGTGGAGGGATAGGATAGGGGAGTGGGGTGGAGGGGGTAAAGAGGTGGGGTGGAGGGGCTGGGCGCAATGGGGTAGGGTGGGGTGGAGGGGATAGGAGTAATAGAGGGGGTAGGGGCTGGGGGGAGCTCCCAGCAGAAGCGCTAGCACAGGCACCCAGGAGCCACCAGCAATGCCAGTCCCGGGAGCCACCAGGGCTCATCAGCACCCGGTGCTAACAGCCACCCATCTCTCCACTTCCTGCCTCCGTACACGGGGACGCGGACCTTGCCTTGGGCGCCAGGGTGAGGCGGTGGTGTCCACTGCTAGCTCACTGTGACGAGGCAGGCAAAGCACCTGGCATGCAGGTGCGCACGTGGGTGGCTCAGGTTCGGGAGTCCACGGGCCCCGCGGCCAGAAACGCACACAGGTGTGGGCGGAACAGACCAGGTGGACGCCCTCGAGGCTCAGCCCGGCCGCGCTGCGTCCTGCGCCTGCGCTGCCACGGGGCCGCTGGAGGCCACGCACAGGTGGGGTCCCGCTTCTCGTGCAGAGGCGGGATGGAGCCCGGAGAGCAGGTAGGCGGTTGCGGGGGTGGGGGTGGGGGCGTTCGGGGTGGGAGTCACTGCGCATCCCCCTGATGTGGGGCGCCTTGTGCTCAGACCCAATGCGCCTTCACCTGACACATCAGACAGGTGCAGAGTCCTGCACCCCTGTCCCCCTCCCCCAGCCTGTCCGGTAGGCCGGGTCAGTGTCGTCCTTATGGGGAGGCCCGCAGGATGCCCGCTCCATGTGCGCATGGAAAAGGGGGCTGCAGGACTGGGGAGGGTCCCCAGGGAAAGTTAGAGCCTGCCCTCCAGAGCAGCGGGCTGTGGCTGGGAGGGGACCCCCCAGGACACTCCCAGCTTGCCTGGTTCGCCTCTCCAAACAGGCGGGGACCTTTCTCCAGGCTTGGTCCTGCCTTCATTTGCAGCTGGTAATGTCCCCTGGTGTGGGAGTAAGGGGCTACACAACTATGGGTGGTCCCTGTAGCCCCCCTTCCCCCACCCCCCCAGGCTAAGGATATTTCTATTTTCTCCTAGAAGGTTAGATTTGTAGTTTTCCTCAGTTGGGGGTTGGGGGGGTGGGAAGCCTGTTCTCAAAGCGTAATGACCTGTCCTTATCAGCATATGAGAAAAACGTGCACGTATGTATGTATACAAACAAACATCTGTTAAGGGTCTTTGCGTGTTTATGTTCAGTTTTGGTTTTTTCCTAAATCTGAGGAACTTTAGCCTCTTGTTTACCTTTCATGGGAATGGTGGGCTGTGTGTTTTCACCAAGTACATCCTCTGTTTTTCTTTGCAGAAGTTTCAAATTTTATATTTATTTTAACTTCTTTTCCTTTATGGCTTCTTTGTTGTGAGTTCTCATGAGAAAGCCTTACTTCTGACAAAGTTACAGGGAAATCACCTATATTCCCTTCCAGTGCTTTTATAATTGTTGTTGTTGTTGTTGTTTTTAACATTGTCCATGGAGAAAAGAGGCAGAAACAAAATAAAAGGGTTCATGGGGGGTGGGAGGAGGGAGTCTCAGAATTGTAGTTCGGGATCAGCCCAAATTGTGTCCCACCGGGGACAGAATTCAGGGGGTTTTAAAGACAACAGGGAATGCTTGTCTATGTTTTTTAGAAAGAATTGTGATTGGCATTGGTGGCTGAAAACTCAAGTTGGCTGAACAGAATCGGTCCCAAGTCTCTCGCAGAGCCAAGTCCATTATGGTAACACGTTGCAGGGCCTCGAGCCCTTGGAGTATTTGGGGTTTGGCGCCATTCAAAGTTCATGGTTTCACCGTGAGAATTGAGGAGGAGCGTGAGGCCCCCCTCCTGACAGGCTCCTGGCTCCGTCTAAACCCCTTGACATAAACAGTCCCATTTCATTAGCCCCCTCACAGCCCCTTCTGTCTGGAATTTGTCCTGATGGAGGATAGAAGAATCCAATTTGTTTCAGATTTTTCAAACTTACTCTGTTTTTTTTTTTCTAGTAACCTATGAATTTTTAAAGAGCATAATACTCATAATACCCTTGTCATTCATTTTCACGTGGGGTACGAGGTAGGGATGTGGCTTTGCTATTTGTTTTTTTTTTTCCCCTGAGTGGCCAACCTGTCAGAGCAACTACAGCAGTGAAAACAACTCCCTTCCCAGGCAGAGGCCCCAGATGTGTGTCTGGGTCATCTGTGCAGCCTCAGTGTCCCTACAGATGGCACGGTTCTCCTGAAAGCTGTCAACCTCACAGCATCATCTTATTGAATAGGTATCAAATTGTTCTCCCGGAAAAGGGTGTCAACATGCCGTCGTTGATTGGTTCTCTGTTCACTTTCATGAACAGGTTAGTTCACAGTGACTCCTGCGAATGAGAAAGCACGTCTCTATTCCCTGGGATTGTCCTTTGAGTGGAAGCCCCGGCCTGTGGTCACACCCCACGTCCACCCCACATCCGGTCCCTGTGCGAAGTAGCGTGGCCTAGTGTTTGCCTTACAAGTGCCGATTACCTTCCATGGGACTTGGGTCCTTTCTTTCTCTCTTTGATCTACCAGGGGCTACAAAAATACATAAACAAAACATGGGGTAGCCTCCATGACTAGTTTATTTCCGTTTCTCCGTACGTCTCTGTGGAGTTCGCTCTGTGTCGATGCTACGGTATCTGCCCAAAGGTAATGATAGCAGGAAGGCATTTTGGCTTTTGTTTTTTATCACACGGTGGGTCTGTCTCAGGTCTTGCTTAATGTCTTCTTCCATTTTTCCATGCACTCGGCCTTTTCCAGCGTTAATTATCGGAAGTGCTGCTCGTGCTTACTCGGTCCCTCCCTGGCTGGCCCTTCCCGTCATTCTGCCTCAGGTCTTTCTGAAGCCCTCTGTCTCTAGGTGGCTTCTTGGACAGGCTGTGCACCTGAATGTGCTCTCAGACCCAATGCCAGCCTGCTGGTAGGCAAGCGTATTCCGTTTGCCTTTGACTCCAGGGCAGGGGTGCCTGGACTTTGACCACCAAAGGAGACGTGCATGTGGGACATAGGTGGCGAGGAGATGAAAAGGCAGTCACCGCTGCTGGTCGTTAGAGCCCACGTCCGCCGCCAGAGAGCACTGCTCCTGTTAGGAAACAATGGTTAGAAGACATCCCCTGAGCGCTGGGGAGGATGGGGAGCACCTGAAGTCCTCCTGCACGCCCGCGTGACCCAAGGACCCGGCAGCAGTGCGGAGAAACGGCTGACTCATTCTCTAGAGCTAATCCAGTTCGGGCTGTTTGAGTTCACATCAATCAATTTCTAAAGGTTTTGCTAAAGGAAACAAGGTGCCAGGAGCAGCCTGAGAGCTCCACAGTCAAAGGTCTGGACCCAGCCCCCTCTCAGCTGGGTCACTCCAGCCTGGCTTTCTGACCCAGGGGCTGGGGGAGTGGGGAGGTCTCCCGCGTACATGGGGGGAGCCAGCCTTGTTTCCTGTTCCCAGCACAGCTTGCGCCTCCCCCAGCCACCCGCCGATGGACTCACCTCCCAGGATGCTCCGACTGCTCCCTGAGTCAGATCTTGAATGTCCTGGCACCTCCACCGAGCACATGTCTGCAAGACACAGCCCCTCCCCCACACCGCACCTGCACAACCTCTCCTGCCCTCGCCTGGCTCCAAGCCCCTGTGGGAGATTCAGACCCCACGTGCCGCGCCCACACAGTTTATCCAACGTGCCTCGTTCAGAGAGTCAGTCCCATGGAAAATGCTCCGTGATCCTGCACCCCCATGTGTAACGGGATTCTATTTACAAAACAGGAACTTCTCTGCATTCAGGACCCATATTCCATGGTGTTTGTTCTGTGTTACAAATAGCTAACGGAGCAGGACTGGAGAAAGGTTGCAGTTGGACTTTCTAGTTTTCCCTGTTTCTCTACTGTTTGGCTTTAACCAGGACGGCCCCACGGGAGACCCCAAGCTCCTGCCAATGTCTGTCATAAGCTGCTTGGCGCAGGTGTGATTTGTTAGATGGTAAACGAGGGCGACGGTGCGGCCTCCCTCCCCTGCAGCATCCTGAGTGGGACTGGTGGTGGAGGCTCTTTCTCCCAAGACCTCAGCCCTTTACTACTTCAGCGTTGTCGGAGGCTTTCAGCCCCGCCTCCCCCAAACGCTACCAGATGCACACATCACAGCAGGGACTCAAGGACCACAGAGTGGCAGAGTGGCATGCTTGCCGCTGGCGCTGTTCACGCCCTGTGCGGAAGCCAGCGGACACGCTGCTGCCATGCCAGTGGTGCCAGCAGGCTCCTGGGAACGTCAATGGCGTTTTGTCTTAGAGATTTTATACACTGCTTTTTTAGAAGAGTTCTACTTCCTTCCGCACCCCATGCGACAGCGGCTTTCTTAATGGTTTAGGCAGCGTTGTCGGCAACGAACGCTGTGACCAGAAACTGCTCTTCCCACCACCGAAAACACGCATGGGACTGTCCCACTGAGAGGGGACTCAGCTTGGGGGTGAATAGTGACTGGTGCTGCAGCGATCGTGGCGGTGCTAGCACCTGCTCAGGGTGATGTGTTCCTTTCCTTCGGCTACGTGCCTGGGGGTGGGAGTGCAGGGGCGTAGGGTGGAATTGCAGGGGTGTAACGTAACTCTATTGGTAACGTTTTTATTGTTAACCTCCGCACTGTTGTCCAGAGCGGCTGCACCAGTCTGCATGCCGACCAACAGCGCATGCGGGGTCCCTTCTCTGCACCCCCGCCAGCACGTGTTGTTTCTCGTGTTGTTGATTTTAGCCACCCTGACAGGTGTGAGGTGGTGTCTCATTGTGGTTTTGGTTTGTGTTTCCCTGATGATGAGTGACGTTGAGCATCTTTTCATGCATCTGCTGGCCATCTGTGTGTTGTCCTTCGGAGAAATGTCTGTTGTGTGTCTTTCGCCCGTTTTTAGTTGGATGATTCGGGTTTTTGTTCCTGAGTTATAGGAATGTGCCTCACGTACTTTGGACACTATTCCTTTATTGGGTTTGTAGTCTGCTAGTACTTTTCTCCATTCCATACATGGGATTCAACTCCACTTTGAACATTACCTGGCTTGGTAGGAGATTGGCTAGGTTCAGTGCAGTGTTAATTAACAGCATGAATTGGTATGTATTTAAAAGACACACAATAACTCCTTACAAAAACCAAACTGCTCAATCTGTCACATAGTTTTGATGTGACAGTTTTTCTTTCTCTTTTTTTTTTAAAGTTTGTTTATTTTTTGAGAGAGAGAATGAGTGGGAGAGGGACAGGGAGAGAGGGAGACAGAGGATCCAAAGCGGGGCTTGGTGCTGACAGCACAGAGCCCGATGTGGGGCTCGAACTCATAAATCGTGAGATCATGACTTGAGCCAAAGTCAGACGCTCAACCAACCAAGCCATCCAAGTGCCCTACATGACAGCTTTTCAAGGAGCACTGTGCAGACCATGGCCTTATAATAACAATAAAACTATTTGCCAAGTACAGTGTGTCCACATCCAGAGAAGGCTGTGAGCATAGGAGTATGAGGGGTTCTGCTGAGGATTTGTTCTGGAGCAGAAACTGGCCCTGACAAAGCTACTGCTGTAGGAGAGGCAGACCTCGGGCCCCAGGATGGGGACGCTCAGTGTCCCCACCCCTACCTGACACGCCATCACCTCTGCCCAGACTCCTGCTCTTTTATGTTGAGTGTACATGTTAAGCTGATTTCATTGACAACATTTTGTAGTTTTCTCCTGGAAAAAAGTGCCTTTACCTAAAGGCCGTCTGTTTCAGTTCTATCATTAAAACCACATTTTGACTGGTGCTTGGGTTTGACCAAACAGCAGATGGGGCCAAGCTTGAGGAGTGTGGCCAGCCCTGCGCTGGGGTCCGGGTCCGGGCAGCGCGCTCCCCACTGGGGGGCAGAGGGTGTGCCCGCCGGAGGCTTGCCGCCATGACCTTGTATGGAAACGACCTCCGTGCTCTGGTTCCACAGGCTGCGGGGCTGGGGTCCGCTGCGCAAGATGAGGCTCCTCCTTCAGAGATGAGTCAGCCATCCCCGAGAAAGGTCCTGAGGCACAGCACCCCGCAGGAAGCCACGCCCTGCCTGCACAGGAGGCCACCGGGCTATGTCCCCTACTGCCCGGGAGGGAGCCCTTTGGCTGAGTCCCCGGTGCCCACATGCCTCTCCTGGAGCCCCCCGTCCGCCCAGGCAGGGCCCGGCTCCATGGCCACCCTCCAGAACCTGCAGCTTTCTACCGTGCAGGCCTCTGGGGCAGCCAGCGGGGGGCCAGCAACCGACTCGGACCCCTGGGCTCCCGAGGAAGATCCGCCCACACCCACTTCTGTCACTTGGAGGCAGCAGCAAGCAGAGTCCGGTGGAGCACGGAGCCAGCCTCCACACTTGAGGTTGCCCGGGCTGCCCAACACCACAAGGAAGAGAAAGAGGGACCCGAAGGAGCTGGTAGCTGTGGTAGGACTGTCCCCGACCTGACCCCAACCCCATCCCTGTGTCCCTGACACTGTGTCCCCAACCTGACCCCAACCCTGTCCTTAACTGTGTCCCTGACCTGACCCTAATCTTGTCCCTGTGTCCCCAACCCTGTCCCTATATCCCCAATGCAGCCCTATCCCTGTGTCCCCAACCCAACCCTGTCCCTGTGTCCCTGATCTGGCCTTGTCCCTGTGTCCCCAACCCTGTCCCTCTGACCTGGCCTTGTCCCTATGTCCCCAACCCTGTCAGTGTCCTGTCCCTGACCTTGTCCCTGTGTCCCCAACCCTGTCCCTCTGACCTGACCTTGTCCCTGTGTCCCCAACCTTGTCCTTGACTGCATTCCTGACTTGACCTTGTCGGTGTCCCCAACCCTACCCCAACCCTGTCCCTGACTGTCCTCAACTGGACTCTGACCCTGTCCCAGATCAGTCCCCAACCCCATCTGGAGGCTCAGGGTCCCCTGGAGGTGGCTGGTGACTCTCAGGAAGGGAAGGCAGCTTCCCTTCCCTCACTGTTCAGGCCTTTCTGATGTCCCAGGCCTCCCCAACCTGCTCTGAGGAGTCACATGACCCAGGTGTGGAGCATCTTTGCCCCCCCCCCCCCCCCAGTTCCCGTCTGCTCTCCAAACTCTTGAACATGCTGCCATAAAGCCTCCTGGCCTTCTCGGGGTAAAGCTGGTGGGTGTAGGAAGCTGTACGCTCTTTCCTTGTGGCTCAGTGTGCACCTGGAGCCTCCCTCCATGCTCCCCTGGTCCCCAGGGCCCCATTCCTGCTGGGACCTCTGCTCCCTGGCCCACAGCAGCTTCACCCTGTCCTCTGATGCCCTTGTGTTCTAGAAGGTTCTGAGAAGGGTACTGGGGGGCAGCGGCTGACCCCGGCTGTCCATGTCTTCTGTGACCTGGCCCCTGCATGCCTCCCATGTGGTCTGGCTCACTCTCCCGCCCCCACTCTGCTTTCTGAGCCCCCTCTCATTTAGAAGCAGGGCTCATCCTGTCCCATCATCTCCCCCACCCCTGCTCCCCAGGTCAGGGAGCCTCCCTGCCGCAGGCCTGGAAGGTCTCCGGTATGCCCCAGGCAGGCGGTCCCGGCACATGCCTGGCCGGCCCCACAGCCGCCGCTCTGCAGCCTTGTCAGCCCCAACTCCCGGGACCTTACCTGCCCCCCCTGCCCCCACACCAGGACACGGCCCTCTGAGCTGTTGCTGGCCCAGCACGTGGGAGCAGACGGGCTGGAGGACCAGGAGCCGGGGGGCGGGGCTGTGCAGCTGCATGGGCGCCTACTGGCCATACGCGGCTTGTGTCTGGCGATGGCCAGGCCTCCCATGGACGACTCTCCTCCCATAGACAGAGCGCGTGAGGCAGTGGGAGACCCGCCTGCTCCAGGACATTGAGGAGGCCACCCAGCATGAGCTCACCATCGAGGACGACTGAACCCGGTGTTGGGCCAGGAAGCGCTGTGCTCTGGGGCTCCCATGGCCACCCCTCCATCCCCCTGTCTGCACACCCCATCTCAGGGCTCCCCGGGCCTCACCCTGACTGCTTCCCTCTCTGCCAATGGAGGGAGCGGGTGTGGACAGCACAGGGGCTTCCCACCCCCCGGGGCTTCCTCAGGGCCACCCAGGGAGCAGGAAGACAGTGTGCACGCACGTAGGGACCGGGGAGCGTGGCGACCCGCTCGCCCGCACAGGGCTCCACATGCATTCTGGGCAAGTCAGACTCCGTGACACTCTCCGGGAGGCAGTTCTGGTGGTTCAGGCACTGGTGTCATGGGGGTGGGGACAGTTTAACTGCCTGCAGAAGCGCGGGGGCGTCTCTGCCCCATCCCGGTGCAGAGCTGGGGTCCCACCAAACAGATGCAGGGGTGCACACCCTCGTGCTGTGGGGATGAGGGAGTGGATGCCTGCGGCCCTTCAGCTAACACAGAAAACCGCAGGGACCTCCCCGTCCAGACCGCCTCCTGCGCATTTTTGTGTGACACCTCATGGTTATAAATACAGAGCCCAATCTAATGAATGTGTTCATCCCCACTTTAATTTTGTTAATATTTATTTTTGAGAGAGAGCGTGAGCAGAGGAGGTGCAGAGAGAGAGGGAGACACAGAATCCAAAGCAGGTTCCAGGCTCCTAGCTGTCAGCACAGAGCCGGATGCGGGGCTCGAACCTACAGACTGTGAGATCATGACCTGAGCTGAAGTCGGACACTCAACCGACTGAGCCACCCAGGCATCCCTAAATTCTTTGAATCGTCTGAGCAAAGTAAGGGTATTTTTAATGTGGGGTCTAAAAAAAGCATAGGTTTGAAACAATGGCCAGGAATCCCGGGTAGCTGGGCCGGGACAGCGCCTCCGGCATTCATTCTGCATCAGGAACTATCTTCATTTAACGTGAGACTTTGAAATCTGGACACCTTCTAAACATGCACAGTTAAGTATTCAGAGGCTTAGCAACAGAGAACACCAATCACAGATGTGTAGAGATGTGGAATGGGATTTTTTAAATTAACAAAAGGAAAAAGCAAAAAAACAAAAACATTTAAAAGCATGATGATGAAACAAGTTCAAATGTAGCAATAGTCCTGTCTTTTAAAAGGGGCTTAAATTTCCTGGTTAAAAAAGAGATTCTTACTTTGTGATCTTTTTAACCCCAGCAGGTGGCACTGGAGAGCCTGGTTACCCCGAGGGGGCACGGGGCGCTCGGCGCTCGTGGGGGCACGGGAGGGGCTCTGGGGGCCGGGGAGCCACTGCTGGTGTGTGCAGTATGCGCAGCGTGATGAGGGCGGGTGTCTCCCTGTAGGTCCTGGAGGCCATGCCAGGCCCGGGGCCGCAGGAGGAGACAGGACACTGCCTCAGAGGAAGGACCTCAGCACCGACGTGGAGGTGCTCCTGTCCTAGCCACACGCAGAACTTTCAGGGACGGGGATGCACACAGTGCGGGAAGCAGGTGTGAAGGCAGAGATGCGCCAGACAGCGGAGTGGCGTCAGGCGACAGCGGTGACATGAGTGTCACAGGCATCCCCAGTTGTGACCAAGGACAGCATCTGCCCAGCCAGAGGGGAGCCCTCCTCCCTCGCCTGCGTGCAAATCAGCGAGTCATCCTGAACCTTCCCTCTTGATATCCCCGTGCCCACCAGCTGCCACGGGGTTCACGGATGGCCCCAAACAGGGAGTCCCTGCCCAGCCTTGGAAGGCGACCTTGGGCCAACCTGCGGGTTCCCACAGTGCCTGCTGCTCACGGTCCTGCAGGCCAGGCAGTTGGGAGATCCGGACAGCAGTGCGGCCGGTCCTGGGGGGCCCTTCATCCTGCGCAGGCACCAGCCTCACTGTGGGGAGCCACTCTCGGGCCTCACTGCACCCGGACCACCACCCTGCAGGCCTAGGCTGGAATTTGGGGAGGGGACAGTTCAGTCCCTGCCAGGCCTTCCTTGGGACACAGGTCCTCGCGGGTGTAATCACGGCGAGGTTGAGGAGAGGACATCATCCTGGATTGGGGTTGCAGTGCAGACGCGCAGGGAGAAGCCTCAGCGGGCGCGGTGGGTGGCCTGGGCCCAGCATTCCAGGAGCCCTGCCCAGTAGCTGTGGAACCAGGACCCAGGCACCCCTGCCGTCCAGTGCAGATGAAATCTGTGGCCTGTGGGCGTGTCTGCAGCTGATGTGGCAGGGACAGCAGAGAAGGGGGAGGGCAGGTTCTGAACACAGAAGAGGCGCCTGGGGGAGCTGACTGAGCGAAAACGTGGAGGCATGTCCCACGGGGGGACCACTTGGTGCCGGCTGGGAGTGACGGGGGTGCAGGGGGAGGCAGTGGGGAGCCTGTGTTGGACAGAGTGGAGCGCCCGGTGGGCCCTGTTCACCTGCACGAGCTGGGGGCCCCGCAGGGTTCCAGCACAGCTAGGGTGTGACAGCTGGCACCCGAGGACCCGTGACAGTAGCTGGGGGAACGCAGTGGCTGGCATGCCTCGGGGCTCCCGCGGGACGGAGCAGGGGCGGCAGCCGGGCACAGGGGCTGGGCAGAGCCGGAGAAGGCAGTGGACGTAGGCCAGGGAGACAGAGCCAGCAGGGTCCCCAGTGGCCAGGGCTCCGAGACAAAGCCCAGGGGCCTCCCTGTGCGTCCTGAGCATTGGAAACGGGGTCTGCTATTTACACCGACTCTCAGGGTCTCGGGCTCTGTGGGATGTGCCCAGCCTGTGCCACAGGCTCTCCAGGGCCTGTCCCTTCTCTCCCCACCAGACACCTGCGGTCCCTGCATCAGCAGTAGGAGGGGCTTCCTCGGACCGTGGCATTAGCTGTGTCTCGGCAGAGGGTGGCTGGGGTGGCTGCTGGCAAACCCTCCCTGACACTGGTCTGCTGCCTCAGGGCCTTTCCTGCTCACCCCGACCTTGGCCTGACAGCCTGCATGGCTCAGTTTTAGGGAATGGCAAGGCTCAGCCTGTTGATGAGGCCCCTCCACTCCCTGCTGTCCCCTCTGACCTGCCTTCCTCGGGAATCCCCAACCAGGGGGACACTCACAGGTCTAAGGAACCCCACGCGGTAAGTCATCTCCCCAGAGACTCTTGCTGGGGGCAGAAACCTAGCCACCCGCACTCCCAGCCACCAGCGGAGGGGGCACTGAGCCCAGGCGGGGGGAAGCTGCCGTCCCCACTTCAGGCAGCGAGGCAGGAGCAGGCTCAGAGCCTCCCCAAGGCCACGGGGCTCTCGACGAAAACTGCCACAGAGTATAGTCAAGCAATTTTTTTCCTTTATTTTTGTTAAATAAGATTCCAGAAAGTGTAGTGCAAACACCCTGTAGAAAAGTCACAATTAAGAAACGTACATTCACGTTAACTTCTCAGTCTGTTCACCTCTTTGTTAATAAAAATAGGACCAAGTACTCAGTTCTTTGTCTCGGTTGAACAATTTCGGAAAAGACCGGAAGGTACGGTGTGGGGCTGACGTAAAAAGAGACCCGTATTGATTATACAAATCTACTGACAGACGCTACCCAGTGACCGTGAGCCAGCGTCTCTCCGACCTCGTCACCTGGTTCTGTGTCTGAAGAACTGTTCCCGGGTGAGCTCGTGGGCGGAGAGTGCGTCCCCTGCCTGCCCACTCCGCCTCCCAAGGTGGGCCACGGCCACGGCTGGCCGGACACGGAGGGTGCGGGGCTCACACCACCTCAGCGAGTCAGGAAAACCCCAGGGTGGGCTGTGGGCTGATGGTCGGCAAGAACGGAAGCTACTGTAAGGTGGTGGCGGTCACGTGTTACCTTCCTCGGGCAGGGGGGTGTGCAATCGTGAGGCCAGGGTGTGGGGGAGGAGGGGCGGCCGGGCTGGGACTCGCCCCGGGTGCGCTGTGTCGCAGGGGTCTGTGGCCAGCCGGCAGATGGCCCGAGGTGGGCCCGTCCCTCTGTGCATGCTGTGAGGTTTCAGGTTCAAAGTGGGGTTCACACACACAGGGGTATCACGGCATGCAGTGCTGAGTGCGCGTGGCTTATAGGCCCACACTTTGTACAGGGTGAAGGCAGACCAAGGGGCCCCAAAGGACTGACGGTCCGGAGGTTGAGCGCCCTGGGGTGTACAAGAGACGCTGTGGGCTTCCTCGGGTTCCCCGTGGCTGGGGGACAGTCCCCTGAGACGTGTGCTTCGTGTCCAGGGCCCGGGTTGGCTGGGGCTGCTGGTGGGAGGTAAGAATCGTGTTCTGGCTGCTGGTGGGCCTGTGGCCCGCGCCGTGGGGGGGCAAGAGCACACAGATGCAGTGCTCGGGGGCAATTCCCGCAGGCCATCCCGCAGGCCGCACACGACTCGTGAGCCCGAGGGGGCAGCCAGGGCTCGGGGGGCTGGCCTCGGAAGGCTTCCGCATTTATGCATCTGTCCCCAGCAGGTGGTGCAACCCCTGTGCCTCCGAGCTGCCCAGAGGCTGAAGGGGTTGGTGCCGGGGAGGCTGGGGACCCCGGTGGCCTGCGGCTGCCGGTTTCTCACCCGCCTCTGCCATTCCTGACATTCTGCCTTCCACACGTCCCCCGGGGAACTCTGCCCTGGCCGCGCTCCAACCTGTAGGAGGTACCCCGGCCGCCCACTGCGGGCCAGGAGCATGAGGCACTGCAGGACAGAGCGGAGACAGCCTTTGAGGGTTCACGTGACCTCTGTCCAGGACTTGGGGGACCCTTGGCTGCATGTACATGGGGAGGCGTGTGTGATCTGGGGGTTTCTGGGGACCCCCGTCCAGAGAGGCCTTGCCGGAAGATGGGCAGCCTCCCCACTGCTGCAGGAGGAGGATCTGTGTTTTCTCAGGATGGGGTGGGTGGGCACGACACAGATTTAGGACAGAAAGGGATGGAGGCGGGATTCCTCAGGCTAGCCTGGAGTGACCCTGGGGGGGTCGGCTGTTGAGGGACACACAGCGCTCTGCTGGGAGAGCAGGGTGCCCAGGAGAGGCTGACACGTGCCCGGGGCACAGCCACGGATGGCTCTATCCAAACCAGCAGTGTCAGCAAAGAGCTTGGGGTGGGGGTGGGGGGTTGGATGGAAAACCAAGGACTTGGGACAGACAGGCCCTGCCACTCTGTGCTGTGTGACGTTGCTCAAGCCAATAACCTCTCTGAGCCTCAGATGCCTCACGACACTGTGGGGGCCGTAACCACGCCCGCGTGGCGGCCAGCAGGCACAGCTCGGGGAAGGGGCCCCGAGGGCCGCCAAGGAGATGGGGTTTCCTTCCTCTGTGGGCATGGGGAAAAGTCCAGATGTGTTTTCACCCCAGCCTTTTCCATGGTTATCGGTGCAGAAACTACAGATTCCAGTGATGCATGGGGAGGAATGCATGGATGGCATCAAGGAACCGAGGGTCGTGTCCAGAATGACCTCACCTGCCGGGCATGGCTTCCCCTGTGGTCAGCGCACTGAAAACCGAGAACATCACCCAAGAGGACCCTGTGCATGGACATCTGTCTGCTCGGCCACGGGGCAGCCGATGACCTGGTCTCTGGCCACGTAGCCAGGAGGCAGGCAGCCAGGCAGGTGCTCCCCGCCAGCTCCTTGCCCAGAATGCCTGCTCCCACACCTGCACCCACACCTGCGCCCAGGGCTCCCTCCATGGCCTCCAAGCACAAGGAGCCCAACAACCCAAACCAGAAACCACCACCGACCAACAGAACCCAGGGCAGTTTGCTGCCTTGACGGCCCTGGGCTTCTGCATGGACGTAGCAAACGGAAGGTTCTAAAAACATCAGGGAGAGAGACTCTGCTCTTGTCCACTGTTGGAGACAGAGGCACGGCTGCTCCGCCCTGACCCTCCTCTCCTCCCAAGCTCAGGATTTCTAAGGGAAATCAAGACAGGGCACACGCAGACAGTCCCACCAGATGCCCAGGGACAGGCTGGCTGCCCCCAACTCAGTCCGGTCTCTGTGAATCCATCCTAATGCCAGGAACACATGATCAGTTTGTATTTTGCTTATGCCAGACCACATGTGCACACACATACACACGCAGGTGCACACGTGCACATTCCACACCCATCCAGGAACACACACGTGTGTGTGTGCATGCATGCACACATTCCACACCCACACAGGTACATGCACATGTACACACGCATGCACGTACACGCATGCTTCACACCCATGCAGGAACGTGCACACACACGTGTGGACACTTCACAGCCATGCAGCTACATGCACATGTGCACACACACATAGACACCACATGCATGCACATACACAGGTACGCTTCACACCCATGCAGGAACACACGTGCACACAGATTTCACACCCGTACACGGACATGCATGCACACTTGCCCATATACACACACACATGCACGTGCGCATGCACACACACATTCCACACCCATTCAGGAAAACACATGGACACACATGTATGTGCACGCACACATTTCACACCCATGCAGGAACGTGCACACTCGTCCAATACACACACACACGTACACGTGCACACACACACAAATGTGAGCACATTGCGGCTCCAGCACAGCAGTCATGGTTTATCTGCGTGAACGCATCTGACAGGAAACAGATGGGCTACGTTTGCAGGGAAATTACAAAATGCAAACATAAGAGTCGGTACCGCGAAGCTGTTTAGGGAGCACTTGTCTCCACGCATGGCCCCTGTAATCACATGTACTCCCATGAGCTGGACCAGCAGGTGTCACCCATCCCCAGGCGCTACAGGACCGGCCTGCCGAAGTGTGCAGACAGCAGCGGCCTTGAGCTGGGCATCCCCAGGAGCACCCTGAGGGCACGGGGTCTGGGCACCCTGCCTCGTGCTGCCGCCCACACCAGGCTGTCCCTTGCACCACGGGCACTCTGCATTCCGACGTCCACTGCTGTAGGGCCCATGCCGTCTCTGGGCACCGGGTCCACCTCAGGCTGCTCACCACCTGCCACAGGGTCAGGGGCCTGACCCCACTCCCTGGCGGCTGGCACTGCCTGGGACCAACTGCCGGCGCTGACCCCACACCTCCCGGGTCCATTCTGGCTGGACGCACAGGTGGGAGTGTACTCCTTAGGCTGAGCCAAATGGAGCCTTCCCGAATGTCTGCCCCATGGCCCCCTCCCTACCCTACCCTCCAGGACGGGGTCCTCAGGTCGCCCATAGCAGACCTGGGACCTGATTTCAACCCACCCAGCCTACGACTCACGAAGATAGATGCAAACACCATGATGCCACGAGAAGATAGGCCACGTTCCAACATGCTTCCCACGTCCCTTCAGAGGGGGTTGGGGCTCAAGCTTCCCTCAGGAACTTTCAAAGCAAAGGCAGCCAGGCAGGCAGGATGTACAGGCCCCTGGACGCGGCTATGTCCTCTGCTTCCAGCCAGCCACACATGCCCCTTACTTATGTCACCAAACCAAACATTTTAAAATCAACAGTTTCTGAGAGGGTTGACTTTTTGTTTTTGTTTTGTTACCTTTTTTTAATTGAAGCCACTACAAAATCGGGCCCAAGTCCGTTTCCGGGGGCGACTTTCCATACAGCCGACAGGCCTACGCGCTTCAGAACGCCCCGTGTCGGCACTGTTGCTGTGACCCAACTGGTCAGGGGGCTGCTCGGTGCCCGGGGTGGGGGGGGGAGGCGGGTAAGTGGTGCATGCGTGGAGTGGGCAGGGCCTGCCTCCCAGGGAGGGCCCAGCAGGACCCCTGACTCGGGGAATCACAGGGACACAGCGCACGGGGGCACACGCTGGGACGGAGATGGGTCCACCTGACCGGGGCAAGGAAGCACAAGGCCAACCGAACCCTTCCTTCTTGAGCTGGACAAAGCAGGGGTGCGATTCATCTAGGCTGCTGACTGGGCCCAGTATGGCTCTATGGGGGACCTGGGGTGTGTGCCTCTACAGGCTGGCTGGGTCCTGTCTGAGCGCAGAGCCTACATGTCACCCAGGCTGACCAGGGAGGACAGGTGACCCAGCTCCGAGACGCGCGGGGACAGGGTAAGGAGATCACACATGTGCACAGACCCAGGCCTGCCCTTCCTGTCTCCCTCTGCTCCCTGTGCCCGGGGCACTGACAGCAAGGCCCACAGGGGAGCCTGGGCTGGGTCTGGAGGAGCTGGGGGGCCTGTAGGTGTGAGCCCCCCACAGTGTGGCTTGGCTCAGACACGTGCGTGCGATGGCTTGTGTCTGGGTTACTGGTCTGCTCTGCATGGAGCTTGGTTCTCATGTTGGAGTTGTTATTGCTTCTAGTGACAGAAGGTGTCTGGAAGCGCTGGTGGCTTTGGAGTCTCATAAATGTGCAGGTTCGGGGGGCCTGGTCTGTGGGGGGGCTCCACCCTGCAGGACACAGGCCTCGAGGAGTGGACCACGCAGTCCTGTGGTCCGTGGAAGCGTCAGGACGTTTGGGGCTGCTTTCTAGTCTACTGAGGTTGGGTGTAAGCAGCACACGGTGGGGCAAGGGGTGCTAAGAGACACCCCAAAGTGCCTCCCAGGCAGGACCTGGCTTCCCCAAAGCAGGGACGTGGCGCCTTGGGGCCGTTGCACACAGCACGTCTGGGTAAAGGGTGCCATCTGCACGGGTGACGGCTGTTCTCGTTTGTGGGGTGGGAACAGATGCCGCAGGAAACAGCGTGCTATGTACAGAGCATCTCAAATCATTCAGGGGACCCCACTCAAAAGGCTAACTTTTGTCTGTGACTGCTGTACACAAGTGAAAATAAATAAGGCAATATCATCCAGTCCCTTCCCAGACACGGAGGAAGACGGCACGCACCCCACCGCCACGGCTGCACAGGCTCCCATGCCCCAGGGGTTGCTTGCTTGTGGGGCCCAGGGCCTCGCCGCCAGAGGGTCGTGGCAGCCAGCTGCCAGGCGGCCACACGTCGTGGGGCTCCAGAGCTCCTAGTTCTGTGGACTCCGGGTCCATGCCCAGCGAGGCGGGGGTGGGGGGGCCCGCTGAGAGTCCCTTGGGCATCCACCTGCATCCTGATCACTCTGGGGGACACGGAATCTGCCGTGTGTGTCTGCGGGAGTGACCAGCCCGTCTCTGCTGCCTGAGGGCTGGGACCCAAACCTTTAAAACCACCACCTCATGCTTGCGTCATCCTCACCATCCTGCCTCTGCGTCCACTTCAAGGGGACATGCAATCCCACCAAGGCCACCCAGGGAGCTCAGGGCCCTGCCCTGGCTAACGGCCCGTACCCGTGATTCCTGTAACGTCCCCTCTGCCGTGTGACAGCACATTCACGGGTCAGGCCACGTGCTGTCCACCGCTCACTCCCCCAGTCCCAAGCCTGCCCTGGGGGGGAAGTTGGGCCAGGTCCTCAGCCCTGTGTCCAGGCACATGGGCCACATGCTCACAGCACTCTTGAGATGACTCAGTTTCCCCTAAAGGAATCATGCCATGTCTCTAAGTGTGGGCTGGCAGGGGATGGCTGGGCCACTGAGTCCTCGATGCACCGATGGCTGTCACTGGCTCAGCAAAGAGCTCATTCTCAGGAGGGAGGCCGTCCAACCACCCGCTTCCATCCTGAGCCCCGCACCGCCAGCCTGTCCCCACACGGCCTGGCGGCTGACCGTGCTGGCTGCCCCGCAGAGCCCCCCGCTGCGTGCTGGAACTACAGGTCAGGACCTGGTCCCCCGACCTGTCTGCCCAGATCCTCTGCCGGTGCTGAATGGCCTTCTCCCTGCGGTCGGAACTGAGGCCCCCCAGGGCCTCGTCCAGGTATTTGTGGCCTGTCATTTGCCCCAGCCACTGCCCTGTGCCCCCCACAGCACATCCCGGCATCCTTGGTCTGCACCCATCCCAGACTCACTCTGAGACTCCACATCCGGGTGCCCGGAAAGCTTTCTCCGGGTCGTGAGGTTCACTCATTTTGAAATCCACGCAGGCTCGTGCTGTTGTGAGTACAGGATCCCAAGGCGACCAGCAGAGTGACCGCAGGGGCCAGGGTCCATAGGAGCCGATGCCGTCGGGGGCCGAGGGGTGGTGCAGAGCAGACCATCAAGGATGCTGGATGCGGAGATGCGGCTCTGGGCCCGGGAGTTCCAGAAGACCCGCCTCTGGCTCTCAGCAAGGAGGTGGCCCCACCAACCTTGCGACGAGGCAGGGGCTTCTCCGTTGTCCCCAAAAACCGCCCATCTAGGGCCCACCATCCGGGCCTGATTCCTGCCCTCATGGCCCTGCCGAGCGAGGCCTGGCTTCCAGCCACACAGGCCCCACCACGTAGGGTTCAAGGGCTTCTGCCTGGGGGCGTGCTTGGGCTCGCCCTGCCTGCCACGCCCCGCGGCTCTCGCTAAACGATAGGCCATGGCCCCCCAGGATGTTCTGAAGGTCCCAGAGCCTGACACTGACTTGGCTGCCCCCAGGCAGCTGCCCCTTCTCTGCCACCGCAGAGGGGACTGAGAGAGCACAGTCCTGTGAAAACCTCAGCCAGCGTCCACATGGGCAGGGCTGCCCTGGCCCGTCACTGCCTGGCCGCTTTGGGTCATGCCAGACGGCTCACCGTCCCTGCTGGAGGACTGGAGGCCCAGACGCCCTGCACATCTGTGCCCTGAGCCCCCAGTGGCCAGCGTGAGCTCCACTAAGCCTCCTTCCCAGCTGCTCCGGGAGACAGGTGCTGGCTGTGGGGGCAGGGGGGGAGCCCCGCACCCTGCAGAGCCCCCAGCCCGGCTCTGACCGGGAGGCCAGCCATGGGGGACACCGAGGGCAGGCCCGAGCCCAGTCTGCTCTGGAGGCCGGCTCGCCCATAGCCACACATTTTCCGCTCCTTGCCTTGGGAGCCGTCTCCATCCGTCCTGCCTTCCAGGAAGTACGTCAGCATCTCACCCTTGCCCTTGACGCTGACCTTCCCGCGGCACACAAAGCGGTAGGTCCCCCGGCGCAGCAGCCGGTGAACCTCCTCAGTCACCTGCAGCAGAGGAAAGCAAGCAAGCGTCCATCTGGATCAGCAGGAGAGGTTCCAGGGGCGAAGCTTCCCCCCTCCCCCTGCCACAGCTTGTCTCCAGCTCAGAGAGAGTCAGAGGGTTCAGGGGGGCCCCCGCAGGGACAGCCTGGGGTCCCGGCTGTCTGCCCGCCTGCTGAGGGCAGGCAGGAGAAAGCAGCGCACCCCAGGGGTAGGCCCAGGGTGGATGGGCCCAGAGACCCAGCCTCAGGCTGGCATGGAGGCCGGATGCCTGGGTGGGACCAGCTCCAGCGGCAGGCAGCGAGGGCAGGATGCGCAAACCTGTATCGCTAACCTCTGGGGCCCTCGCTCACTTCTTCAAGGAAAGCACCCCAAATGTTCGATTTGGACCCAGCGGAGGAAGGATCCTAGAAGTGTTTGCAACAGGGGGCACTCAATACAGCAGGCGTGAGAGGGGGGAACACAGCTGGGGGAAGGAGCGCCTCCAGGAACAAGGGTGGTCAGGACATGTCGTGGCCCTGGGACCCTGTGAGGCAGGAGCCTGGGTCAGAACATGGCCATGAGGGGCTTGCAGGGACCTGCATGCGGCATGGGGGGGGGGGGGCCACGGAAGGGAGGTCCCTGGGTGTGGCGGGGAGGGGGGGAGGGGGAGCAGGCACTTCGCAGAGAAAGGCCACAGCGTGGGGGAGGAGGGCTTGCTGGAATCTGATTTTGGAAACTTAGTGCACGTGGGACAGTGGCCTGGCTTCACCAAGGTCCCCCACTAGGGTGTGACACGTCCTGGGGAGGCAGGTGGGAGTCAGTGCCTGTGAGCTGTTCATGAACCGCACATGGTGACGAAGGAGAGTGTGTGTATTTCATGACAATGAAAGAAATCAAAGGAAGGACTGTGATGTGTAGAGATGCCGCATGGGGATCTGCGCTGACGGTTTAAACCCAGGAACCCAAGGGCCCAGCAGGCACCAGACAGGGACACAGCGCCTACCGCGTGCTGGGAGGGGGACAGAACACGTGGATGCCGGGGGGCTGGCAGCCTCCCCACAGGGTACACAGGTCACCAGGACCTCGCTGGACATCAGGGCAGAGGGGGAGGCCAGCACTGGACCCGGGGCCGCCGATGGAGTGCCATTCCCTGCCCCAACCCCGTGGGCCCCCAGAGGCCAGCCGCAGCCACACCAGGGGAGCCCCGCGAGCCTGACGGAGGCCCCGAGAGCTGCCCACAGCTCTGCACACCTGGGGAGAGCAGCCACTGTCCCCAACCCTGGGGGTGGCTGTTATGGGGGGTCAGGGCCAGGCAGCTCCACAGTGCCAGCGCTTCAAAACCTGGGGAAGCCCCTCCCTCTCAGGCAGCCAGGAACGTGGTCAGGGTCCTGGATGCCAGAAGGCTGGCTCACTGTACTTGACTGAGACCCCACCCGTCACCACGCCCCCAACTCTGCACACAGCCCTGCGGAAGCAAAAGCCCGAAGCCACAGAACAAAACAGACAGCAACAACCCAGTGCCCCGCAGGCGGCGGACACACCACGCTGGTGACTTCCTGTCCCTGCCCGGCCCTGGGGCTCATCTCGCCAGGCTGGCCCTGCCTCCTACGCCTCACCTCTCGGCCCCGGGCGCACATGGCAAACCCACCTGGATTCTGCCCTGGACGCCGGTGCTGTCCATCCGACTGGCCACATTGACTGTGTTTCCCCAGATGTCGTACTGCGGCCTCCGAGCCCCGATCACCCCAGCCACCACAGGGCCGACATTGATGCCTGGAAAACAGCCGCCAACGCCATCAGCGCCGGGGAAGCTTCCAAGGCAGGAGCTGCCCCCTCAGGCTCCCGGACTCCTGGGGTCACCTGGCACAGTGTCTGGTCCGAAGGGACCATTTGGAAGAGGCATAGAGCCCTGTCCTGATCCTGAGAGAGCCCCATTTCCTGGGACGGCGACCCCGCACTGCTCAGAAGCCTGGCCTTGCGGGACAGCGGTGTGTCCCCCACGCCGCTGCCCCTTCCCCTGTTTCCCTGGCTGTGACACAACAGGTCATGCAGAGCCCGGGCCTGGAACTGTTCCATTATTTCTGGGTGCTCTGAAGTGGGGAACAAAGGCCCCCTTCCCTTCACGTGGCTCAGGGTCCCAGCGCCAATCACCCCCACAGCCATCTGGGAACTGGGGCTTCCCTGCCCCACAGACGCCATATCACATCTCTCCACGCCGCACCTGTGCACAGACTTTTCTGGATCAGCCACTGATGTCCCCACCCAGCAGTGGGGTGCCGGTGTTGTGTGCAGGACATGGCTGGTGGGCGGGGCCCCAGCCAGGACCCGTCGGGGAGCGGGAGCAGAAGTTCTGTTTCCCACCTTGTCACTACACGTGGTGGAGTGCCAGCCAGAGGGGAAAGCAAGACACAGGGACTCCGGCCCGGCGGGTGCCACCCTCCCGCTCAGCCCGGCTCCTAGAACGTTTGCCAGACAGTGGACGTCTGAAGCCTAGAACCACCACAGGCAACCATGTTCGGAGCGTCTTCCTCCCACCACAAGTGGGTCTCCTGAGCTCAACGGCAACCTTTGGGTCCCAGGTGCCAGCTTTCAGGGCAGCTGTCCTGTGGCCCCGGCCCACCCCTGGGAGGCCCCGCCCTCCCTTCTGGACAGGGGGCATCCAGGCCACCAGCCCTGGGGGAGGGCAGGTAGCAATGTGCTGGCACACCCGAGGCCACGTACCCACACGGAGCACAAAGTCGTTGTAGGACTGGTAGTTGATTTCATCCAGGACATCGAACATCTCGATGGCAAAGTCCGCCAGCGTGCTTAGGTGGGAGGAGATGCACTTCTTGGCCTGCATGGAGCAGACAGGGGTGGGGGGTTACCGCATCTGGGGGTGCAACCGCATATGGGGGTGGGACAATCTGCAGGTGCCCTGCCAGGGGCAGGATCTGATCCCACGTGACCCCATGTCACGTGCACAGCAGTGGCCCACCCACTGCGGGCCGGTGGTGGCCTGGTGTCAGCCCCACGGAGGGGGGGAAGGGGGAAAGGGGGGAGGCAGCCCATGAGCGGAACAGTGGGCGCCATGGCCTGTCGTGCCCAGGGCTGCAGGGCCAGCCCCATGGGTCTGTCAGGGAGCCGAGACCCCCTCACTCGGAGGCCACATCGCTCCCTGCTTTGTACTGTGAAACAGCCCCTCTTGGGGTGCCTGGGGAGCTCCGTTGGTTAAGCACATGACCCTTGATTTTGGCTTAGTTCATAATCTCATGGTTTGTGAGTCTGAGTCCCACGTCGGGCTCTAAGCCGACAGTACAGAGCCTGCTTGGGATCCTCTCTCTCTCCCTCTCTCTACCCCTCCCCCCACTCAAGCTCGTGTTCTCTCTCTCTCTCTAATAAATAAACTTAAAAAATACTTATTTGAAACAGCCTCTCTTGTGTAAAACAGGGACAACTATCAGGTTTTTTTCTTTTTGTACCCATTCAAGGTTTTTCATTTTTCTTGGTTTATGGATATTTTACTAGTCCTCAAATAAAGGGAATGAATGCTTTTAAAAAAAAATTAACTGACTTAGTCTTGTCTGAACCAGCTAAGGTCTATCGGTACATAGGGCAGACAGCATAGGGTCCTGTAGGCTGCCCCCTGCTGTCACACAGTTCTCCTGCTGTCACAACCTGTGCAAGGACCTTCGTTACCACTGATGGGCCCACCGTGATCACTGCCGTCAACTAAAGCCCACAGTTTAGGTCATGTGTGTACATTCTATGGGTTTCCCTAAATGCACAGTTTTGTGCACCCACAGAAGCAGTTTCACTGCCCCCGAGCCCCCTGCCCGCCTGTTCATCCCTCTCCCCCAGCCCCCTGGCAACCCCTAATCCTTCCTTGTCTCCATAGTTGTGCCTCTTCCAGAATGTCCCATAATTGGAATCATACAGTGTGTAGCCTTTCCAGATTGGCTTCTTGCCTTAGTGAACTGCATTCAAGGCTCCTCCTTGTCTTTACACGGTGTGAAAACTCACTTCTCTTTAGCGCTGAATAATATCCCCTTGTCTGGATGGACCGCAGACTATTATCCATTCACCTACCAAAGGAGGTCCCGGTTGCTTCCAGGTTTTGGCAATTATGAATAAAGCCTATGTAAATACCTGGTCAGGTATTCCGTGGACCTAAGTCATCTGCTCCTTTGGGTGAATGCCAAGGAGCAGGGTTGCTGGGACATACAGTAAGAGCATATTTAGTTCTTTAAGAAACCTCCAGACCACTGATCTCAGAAGCTAAGCAGGGTCGGGCCTGGTTAGTACTTGGATGGGAAACCTTCAGACCGTCCCCCGCAGCAGTGGCCCTGTATTGCACGCCCACCAGCAGTGAGTGAGCACCCCGCCGCTCCGCACCCTTGCCAGCACTGGGCATCCTCGGGGTCCTGGCCCCTCTCATCCATGTGCAGTGGTGTGTTATCTTAATGTCCGTTTCCCTGCTGATGCCTGATACAGAATATCTCTTCTTACACTTGTCACGTGCAAGTGAGGTGTCTGGATTTTTTGCCCACTTTTTAATTGGCTTGTTTCCTTATTGTTGAGTTGGGGTTCGATGCAAGTCCTTTATCAGAGATGTGGTTTGCAAAGCTTTTCCCTCAGTCTGTAGATTGTCTTTTCATTATAGTATTTCCCGCACATATTTTAAAGTTTTAATTGGGTCCAATATAACGATGTTTTTTTTTCCATGGATCATTTAAAAACTGATCACCAGGGAGGCCCGGGGCGGGGGAGCGGGGGGAGGACTCAGTCAGTCAGTTAGGCATCCAACTCTTGATTTCGGCTCAGGTCATGATCTCATGGTTCATGGGATTGAGCCCCGCATCAGGCTCTGTGCTAACAGCGTGGAGCCTGCTTGGGATTCTCTTTCTCCCTCTCTCTCTGCCCCACCCCTGCTCACACTCAGACTTTCTTAAAATAAATAAACATTGGAGGCCTGGGTGGCTCAGCCGGTTGAGCATCTGACTTCGGCTCAGGTCACGATCTCATGGTTCGTAGGTTTGAGCCCCGTGTCAGGCTCTGTGCTGACTGCCAGCTCAGAGCCTGGAGCCTGTTTCAGATTCTGTATCTCCCCATCTCTGACCCTCCCCTGCTCACGCTGTCTCTCTCTCTCTCTCTCAGAAATAAAACATTAAAAAATAAATAAGTATTAAAAATAGCTTTAAAAATAATTTAAAAATTAAAACAAATAAAACCTTATCACCAACCCAAGGTCACCTAGATTCTCTCTTATGTGATTTCTAGAGGTTTAACACTTCTGCCTTTCACGTTGAGGTCCATGATCCATTCTGAGTTAATTTAACCCATTTCAGGTCAACATCTATCTAAATACGGATGTAAACTTCTAGCACTGTTTATTGAAGCCTACCTTTGCTCCATTCCCCCTTTTGTCAAAGATCTGTTCACTCTGCCGACAGGGTCTGTGTCTGTGCTCTCTATTCCGTTCTGTTGATCTAGCCCATTCTTCCCCAACACAACACAGTCTTGATCACGGCAGCTTTCTTTCTACACAACCTTGAAGTCAGTTGTTCAGTTCTCCAATTCCGTTCCATTTCTACTATACTGTGTTACCGACTCTGCATCCTTTGCCTCCATGTACACTTAGGTTCAGTTGGTCAATATCACAAAGTGACATGCTGGACTTTTGAGGGGGATTGCAGTAAATCTGTAAGATCAAGTTGGCAATAACTGACCTCTTGACCTTGACCTTGAGTCTTCCTATGCAGGAACATTACCTGTACACCTATTTGATCTTCTTTGACTTCTTGCATCAAAGTTATACACTTTTACTCAGAGGTATTATTATAATTATTTTTTAAAATATGTTCCTAGTATTTGATTTGGGGGGGGGTGCAAATATAAGTGACACTGTTTTTAATTTCAAATTCCACAAGCTCGTTGCTGGTTCTTAATCAGGAATGGGTATTGGATGTTGTCAAATGGTTGCTCTGCATCAACTGACATGATCATGTGATTTCTCTTTATCCTGTTGATAGAGTATATTTCATTAGCTCATTTTGAAATGTTGAACCAGCCTTGGTGTCTTGAATAAATCCAACTTGTTTGTAGCATATTATTCTCTTCATACAACGTTGGAGTCAACTGGCTAACATTTGTAGAAGACTTCTACATCTATACTCACAAGAAATACTGGATCCACAGAATGAGTTAGAAACAAATGACTTAGGAACTTCTATTTTCTGGAAGAAATTTTATAGAATTTGTGTAATTTCTTCCTTAAATGTTCAGTGAACTCATCTGGGCCCAGTGCTGTTTTGGAAGGCTACTAATTATTGATTCAACTGCTTTTAATAGATCTAGGTCTCTTAAGATTTTTTTATTTCCCCTTGTTCAAGTTTTGGTAGATTGTGACTTTTAGGGAATGAGTCAATTTGGTCTAAATTATCACATTTGTGGGCACAGAGCTGTTCATAACATACCTTTTCATCCTTTTACTTTCCATTGATTCGGTACAAGTGGCCCATCTTCCATTTCTAATATTAGTAACTTGTGTTTTCTTTTTTTCTGTTAGCATGGCTGGAGGTTATCGACTTTATTGATTTTTCAAACAGCCAGCTTTTAGTTTCATTGATGTTCTTTGGTGCTTACCTGTCTTCAAGTTCATTGATTGTGCTCTGATTTTTTTCCCCTATGCTCTCCACAGGTTGATATTGTTCTTCTTTCCATCATTTGCTAAGGTAGAAGCTTATAGGGTTATTTGGGATAGTTCTTCTTTTCTAGTATACGACTAAAAAGATATCATTTCCTTCTGAGAGCTACTGTTGCTGCCTCTCGTAGATTTTTTCAATTGTATTTTCATTTTTATTTAGTTCAACACATTTTTAAAACTTCTCTTGATATTTCCTCTTTCATTCATGTCATTTAGACAAGTGTTGCTTAATCTGCAAATAGTTTGGAATTTTACAACTATGTCCCTATCGATAGATTTCTAATTTAATTCCATGGGGTGTGAGAACATACTTTATATGATTTCAATTGTTTTAAACTTGTTAAGGTATGTTTCGTAGCCCAGAATGTGCTCTATCTTGGTAAATGTTTCACTTGAGCTTGAAAAGAATGTGTATTCTGCTGTTGTTGGATGAAGTTGTCTGTGGGTACCAATTATATCCAGGTGCTTGATGCTTCTGTTCAGTTCAACCATCTTTGCAGATGCCCCCCTGGACCTGCCAGCTTCTGAGAAGGGTATTGTAGTCTCCAGCTATAATGGTGGATTCATCTATTCCTTCCCATGAGTCTATCTATTTTTGCCTTGCATATTTGGACACACTGCTGTTATGTGCACACATGTTAAAGATTGTTATGGCTTCCTGGAGAACTGACTCCTTTATCATTTTGCAGTCTCCCTCTCTATTTCTGCCTGATAATTTTCCTTGATCTGAAATTTGCTTTGTCTGAAGTTAGATCACTACTTGAATTTTGTTTTATTAGTGCTAGAATGGTATCTCCTTCTACATCTTTATTTTTAAGGTGTCTATGTCTTTATATTTAAAGTATAGGGGTGCCTGGGTGGCTCAGTCAGTCTGACTTCGGCCCAGGTCATGATCTCACAGTTCGTGGGTTCGAGCCCTGTGTCGGGCTCTGTGCTGACAGCTAGCTCAGAGCCTGGAGCCTGTCTTCAGATTCTGTATCTCCCTCTTTCTCTGACCCTCCCTGCTCACACTATCTCTATCTCTCTCTCAAAATTAAAAAAAACATTTAAAAAAGTTTTACTAAATAAATAATATAAAGTGTGTTTCTTGGGGTACCTGAGTGGCTCAGTCAGTTGAGAGTTCAACTTCTGCTAGGTCATGATCTCATGCTTTGTGAGTCTGAGAGCTGCATTGGGCTCTGGGCTGACAGTTTCGGATCCTCTGTCCCCCTCTCTCTCTGCCCCTCCCCAACTTGTACTCTCTAAAATAAGTAAACATTTAAAAATAAATAAATAAATAAGTGTGTTTCTTGTGACAAACCTATCTGGGTCTTATGTTTTTGGCCACTCTGTCAGTCTCCCTTGGTTGGCATATTTCCATTCACACTTAAAGTAATTACTGATATAACAATCAATGGATTATTATAGATTAGTATCTCCCATACTTATAACTGTTTTCTATTCATTGCATTTTTTTTTTTTTACAACTTTCTCTCTTTCCCTGCCTATTTTTTTAGAGCATCCTGAAGACTTTATTCACAATTCTGCATTGGGATAGGGGAACGCTCCAAGGTGCTGGGCTGGCACGACTGGGTGCAGCTGGTGGGGAGGGAGCAGGGCTGGAGGAAGCCCCTGTGACTGGCATCAGTGCCAACTTTCTATGGGAGGCTGTGTCTGGAGAGAGCCGGCCGCCGGACGGACAGCCCCAGGCCGCTGCTCTGACTTACAAGGCAGACTGGGGCTCAGCAGGGAACGTGCTCAGGGCTCCAGAGCAGTGTGGGGCAGAACTGGGACCCGGTCCCCGAGCAGCACTCACCTTGGTCCCAGTGGTGGGCGCCAGCCCCACGGCGGCCATGTAGGTGCTCCCAATGGTCTTGATCTTCTCCAAGTCCTTGTAAAAGTCTTTATCCATGAGCTTTGTTTAAAACACAAAACTGTTCAATGTTACATAACATCTTAGAGAAGCCACTTCGGGGCATATCAGGGCCGGGGAGCAAGTTCTGAGAAGCAGTGTGTCTCGTTTGCCATGGGCGCTAGACAGGGTCTGAGGCCGATCAGAGGGGCTCCGGCAAGGGCATGGGAAAGAGGAGCCCAGGAGGGACCCCGCAGAGCACAGGTGTCCTCCAGCAGTGACCTCAAGGTCACCCTAGGGGAGACATTGCAGGGCAGGGAGTGGGGCTGGTGCAAACCCCAGAGTTACCGGCCTGAACCCAGCATTTACTAGGTGGGGGACAGGTGCCAGCACCCACCACGGGAGCTCAGTGCCCATGGGTGACGAAGCGCCCTCCCCCAGGGTCAGGGTCGGTTTGGACCCCAGGGGGGACAGAACGCACGTGCCTCCTCCCAGTTCCGTGCGCAGGGAGTGCGCCACATTGTGGGCATAGTGCAGACGCTGTCCCACAGCAGCTGGCCTGCGGCCCTCACCTCATCAAAGTCCGCGATGATCTCGTTCAGGAGACGCAGACACTCCACCCCCATGTTGTTGCCGTCCAGCTCGATGTAGAAGTCATCGAAGTTGGGGATGGAGGCGAACATGACGCCCACTTGTGAGTAGGACTGGTAGTACAGGTCCTGGGGGCAAAGGGCAGGTCAGCCACAGTGCCACAGGCAGCACGCATGGCGGTGGGGAGGGCGCAGGGAAGGACAGGAAAACAGGGCCCTGGGAGCTATCTCTAGCCAACACCGGTCAGGCTGAGCCCGCGCTCTGTGCCTTTAAGATCTAAAGTGCTGGCCAAGCCTGCTTCTGTGTGTGCAGAGGGGGCCCACTCGACCTCGACCCTGGTGCCATTTTAAGCAGGGAAGCAATGGGAGGGTCACTCTGCGCGGGACCTCCAGCCCAGCCCCGTGCTCATCCCCCCCTCCCCCCCAGTGGCGCAGGCGGGGCGGGAAGCAGGCTCACCATGTTCCGGGGGTTGGACATGAGGAAATGCTGAGCCACGTGGGCCGGCAAGAGGTTGAAGAGAATCCTCTTGTTGTCCAGCTTCACCCTCTCCATGTCGTCCCTCTCCTCCTCGGCCTGGGGGGCGGACCCTTCGTTACCCATCGAGCTTCCTTCCCTGGCTCAACGCCCCCCACACCCTGCCGCAGACTCTCCCAGGCCCAGTGACCAGGTCCCTGACCCCTCCCAACCAGGTGCTGCGCAGGGGTCCCATGGGGTCTGCCTCAGCCCCTCTCCTCAGGACCATCAGTCCAGCCAGACCCCTGCCCTTGAGCTCTGATGGGGACCCTCAGCCCCTCGCCCCTGGGTGACGTCTGATGCCCTGAACTGCCTTCAGCCAGGACCCTGCAGGGTCAGCCCTTAGGATCTTCCGCCCTATGACCACCCACCTGCTCCTGGGTGATAAGCCCTGTCTGTCTGTGCTGCTCGGCCCAATGGCCCTGAACGACAGCCGCCTCTCCACGTGCCCGGGTGCCGTGGATCCCCTTGCCTACAACACCGGGGTCTTTCTAATCATCCACACTGAACTCCAAGGGCACGATCGACAGTCTACACAGGCTCCTCTCCCTCCCACAGGGCAGAGAGGCTACGTCATCCTCACGGGGGCCCAGAGGAGCCACGGACTTCTGGGTAAGTCCCCAGGGATGATCAGCTGGAGCTTCCAGGGGGGAAACGGGGAGCTTCAAACTTTCAATGGGGGCCTTCGCCCCACTTCCAGGCACACTCCCAGCCACCTGCTGAGGCCCAGACACCCGTAGCATCTGAGGCATATGCCTGCTCCCAGGCCACACAGGCCCCCAGGCAGCCTCTGAGGGGCCCGAAAACATTCATGGGCACGCCAAAGGAGTCTTTCACTGGGGATTCCCAAAGCCAGGCAGCCCCGTTTCCTCTAAAATCTCCCTGCCCCCAGCAGGAGTCACGTGCTGGGCGGCGAGACCAGGAGACATGTGGGGGTTGGGGGGGACCTGGGACAGGGGATCTTGGGTGGGAGGCCTGGGGGACCTGGGGCCGGGGAGCCCTGGGCCTGCTCTGAGGGGTGCGCTGGGGAAATGACTACGAGCTGTCCAAGGGGCTGTTAGTTATCCAGGAGCCTGGCGACAGGACGCGCTTCACCCCCTACCCCCTACAGTGGGCAATCAGGTGGCAGGGGGCACAGCAGAGGAAGCCCAGAAGCTATGAGACCCCAGGGACAGGAGCCTGCCTCTGTGGGCAGGGGGCCGGGGCCATGGAAGCGAGGGAAGCATCAGAAGGAAGCCACACAACTCATTACTCATGACGCGTGGGCACCAACAGACCAAAGAAAGCTTTTTGCAGAAGATAAAAAGGAAGTAAATACTATTTTTACGATAGTAGTTTTATTTATTAACGGACCTAAAACTTATGCTGCCCCTGAAACACTGTGTTAATGATACTTTTGAAAAAGCAATGTAACTAAATACACTTCAACTTTGGTTTTTTTTGTTTTTTTTTTTTTTATTCATTTCTAGGAAAGAGAGAGAGACAGCATGAGCAGGGGAGGGCCAGAGAGAGAGGGAGTCACAGACTGAAACAGGCTCCAGGCTCCAAGCTGGCAGTCAGCACAGAGCCTGATGCGGGGCTCGAACCCACGAACCGTGAGATCATGACCTAAGCGAAAGTCGGACGCTTAACCAACTAAGCCACCCAGGTGCCCCAAATACACTTCAACTTTGTAAGATAAAGAATCTTGGCTTATCAAAGCTTTGGATCTAAGTTCAGTTTATTTCAATGGACTTGCAATTCACAGAGGTTTAGCCCATCAGAGTAGCTCTCTTTAAAGAAAATCATTGTAGGAGGGGTGCTTAGGGGGGCTCAAGTCGGTTGAGGGTCCAACTTCGGCTCAGGTCATCATCTCACAGTTTGTGAGTTCAAGCCCCGTGTGGGGCTCTGTGCTGACAGCTCAGAGCCTGGAGCCTGCTTCAGATTCTGTGTCTCCTTCTCTCTCTGCCCCTCCCCTGCCTGTGCTTGCTTTCTCTCTCACAAAAAATAAACATTAAAAAAAGTTTTAATACAAAATAAATCATTGTCTGTTTTTTAATCATCCACAAAGGTTTGCATTAAATGTGATGGGGAAGTGTCCATCTTCTTACAAGCTAAGCAGGAGAAGTTGTGTTGTTATATTTACAACAAATTAGATGAAAACCCACTGAAATTCTCTTTTTATAAGATTTTCCAACCGGCCAGCGTGAGAAGGAGCTGGAGTGGGCGACACACCCCATTCCCGTCACACATGAGGGACACACCAACACCCTCCTCCACACAAGACCTTGTTTCCAAAGGCAGTTCCCTTCTCATCTGTCAAAATCTGACCCTGGACGTTACGGACCGAATGTCGGAGCGGGCATCTCAGAAATTCCTTCCCAGGGTGCGCCTGCCAACAGCACACGGCCCTGAGAAGGCCCGACGGCTGGGAGCACCGTCTCCCTGTGGACAGAACAAACCAAAGCTGCATACCCTGGCAAGTCCCAGATCGGCTGACGCAGGTGACGGGCGGGCTGCGTGCACTGTGAAGGTCACCATGACCCCCACAAAGCGCTGCCAAGGCTTTTTGTCCAAGCAGCCAGACCCACAGACCCCTCCCAGCTCCTGCAATCAAGGACGGATCACTCAGAATGAAGGGCCAGTCACACTGCTCCTGGGAAGTGACGTTCCTGCCTCCCCTGGAGGGGACATGTGGCTGGAGGGAGGCACTCACGCCAGCACGTTCTCCAGTCAGTGCGAAAGCGCATGTTGTAATTTCCAGAGCACTGGAAGCACAGCTGCGGGCGCGGCGAGAGGCTCCTCCGGAGATGAGAACCAACAGCTCATGCAGAAGTCAGGACAGATCTACGGCCAGAACGTGGCTCACGAGACCCTGGACACTAAGCAGGCCCACCTGTGCTCTCTGCCAGCTGGGTGCCCAGGAGAGCTGGTAGTGGCAGTTGCCTTCCAAGCCCCAAGTCCTGACACCTGGGAACCAAAGGCAGAAAGAAGGCCAATGTCCCAGCTCAATAGTCCCGTGGAAGGGGCTGGATTCTTCCTCTGCCTTTCTGTTATTTTTCTTAAATTTTTAAAATGTTTACTTATTTTTGAGAGAGAGAGAGAGAGACTGAGCATTAGTGTGGGAGGGGCAGAGAGTGAGGGAGACACAGAATTCAAAGCGGGCTCCAGGCTCTGGGCTGTCAGCATAGCACCCAACGCAGGGGCTCTCGTGAACTGAGAGATTATGACCTGAGTCAGAGTCGGACGCTTAACCAACTGAGTAGAGAAAGCCTTGAAAGTGTGAAAGGGAAAGAGCATCATCAACCTACAGCCCTATCCCTGGCACACACATCTTTCAATCACAAAGGCAAAATGAAGACCTTGTCAGACACACAAGATTTGAAAGAACTGCCATCAGACCCGCAAGAAATGTTAAAGATGGTCCCTTAGGAAAACAGGCAGATACCAGATAGAAGCCTGGACCTTCATAGAAGAACGAAAAGCACCAAAAATCCTAACTATGTGGGTACATAAAATTATATTTCTTCTAGGGGCACCTGGGTGGCTCAGGTGGTTAAGTATCCAGCTTCAGCTCAGGTCATGATCTCGCGGTTCAAGAGTTTGAGCTCCACGTGGGACTCTGGGCTGATAGCTCAGGTTCTGTGTCTCCCTCTCTCTCTGCCCCTCCCCTGCTCCTACTCTGTCTCTCCTCAAAAATAAATAAAACATTGAAAAAATAAATAAATAATTTTAAAAAACTATTTCTTCTCAGAAAATGGATTTAAAATATAATTAAAGAGACTCAGTTGGTTAAGCTTCCGACTTTGGCCCAGGTCATGATCTCACAGTTCATGGGTTTGAGCCCCACATCGGGCTCTGTGCTTCCAGCCTAGAGCCTGTTTCAGATTCTGTGTCTCCCTCTCTCTTTGCCCCCCACTCTCACTCTGTCTCTCTCTAAAAAATAAATGTTAAAAAAATTTAAAAAATAAAACATAATTAAATGTTTATGATGGAAAAATATATTTTGGAGTTTATAATACATGCACATAGAAAAACTGTGATGTCAACAGCCAAAACCCAGGATGGGAGGAAGAGATGTATGCTGTTACAAGGTACAATAACACCAACTGAAGACAGGCGATGGTAGGCACCCGCTGAAATACTACAAGAGGGGAGGAGCTGAGTTGGCTGAGTAGGAGGGGGACCCTAGGCTCGCCCCACCCCTTGCACCCAGCTAGATAAACACCAAATCTCTCTCAACACCCAGTAAATCAGCCTGAGGACGGTCAGAACAAACTGCACAACTGGAGGGAGAGAAGAGGCCACGCGTCGTGGAAGGGGGGTGCAGAGACGTGGCTAGGGGAGAAAAGGGTCACGGGTGTTCCAGAGGCAAGGGAGCCCTGATCACGGAGGCAAAAGAGAGAGAGATGAAGCCACGGGGGATCACACAAGGAAAACACTTCCCCAAAGCCATGGACGGGGAGAACAAGATGAGCTGACTATTGTGAGATTTTACAACTGGTGGGGCTCAAAGACTGGGGTGTTAGGGTCCACGGCGTGGCGGGTGTGGAGCCCTGAGGGCTCCTTCAGAGGAGGGCAGAAGCCCGGGAGCAGACGGCATGATCTGAGGATCCCCTGGGACACGCTGGGACAGACGTTTCCCCCTTCTTGGAGCACACCTGGGAGATTTCTCCGGGGACAGAAGAGCCAAGGGCACCACTGAGCTGCCCTGTTCATTAGACACCCGCTGAGGGTGGCTCCCCTGGACATAGGCTTCTCGTTGTGCGTCACTCCACACTCCAAGCTCCCACGCCTTGCTGCGACGGCCCTTCTGGGACCTACCCCAGAGGACCAGAGCATGTCTATGCCACACCAGGTTTGGAGTTTTAAACTTCAGCTGGCCTTCCCAGGACAGAACCCAGGGTGAACTGCACTGCCAGATGGGCACATGGCCCGGACACAGACACTTGACAGGAAACTGTCCACTCTTCTGGGAGGGCTTTCGGGACGGCGGCAAGTGCAAACTCCCCTCTTCAAGGCCGAGGGAGGGGGCTGGCACCATTTCTCTCCCCCACCCCTCTGCATAAACTAACTCCAGT